AGCATTAGCAACTATTTAATATATTTCTAAGTTAACAAATATTGCTGTAAATGTGGTAAAAGGTGACGTTAAAAAATTCACAACACTTTTTTAAACATTGTTTGAAGCTAAATGTGGCAAAATGTTGATGTTATTTTCAGCGTGAGCCACTTTACAAATGGCACCCCATAGGGGGCAGCCCTATTTGTTCGTATTTACTTGGTCAATGACGATTGGCTACTTCAACCAATTTCTGGTGTCATGAAATTGTGCATATATAAAAGGTACATCAAAGATTCTGATTTACCTCCAAGCAGGTGTTAAGATGGCATATCCAGCCTTGGTGGAGGATATTGCAGCCTGTGCCTCTAGGAGAGAGAGCGCATCTTCAGAGACCAACATAGACAACTGCTTATCAGCTGTTTCCGACTGTCAAGACTTTCACTAATAAGTGAAACACCGTCACCCCTTTCTACATGATACACTTCTAAGCAAACACATTTTCTTATATAGAGAAATGAAGGGTTGCAGTATGCTGAGTGCACCAAGCCAGCACATGCCTTTCAGTTTAGAATGACTCTGACTCACTGACATGTGCACGACGGTAAGAACAAAATTGACCAGTGCGCATTTGTGATGAATCCAACAGTAATATTGCATGTGCACTTCAAGTAAAAATATTTCTATGCACATGTTGTGAATGAGGCCCAAGGTCCCTGTGTATGAAGAGGTCCATAAATAAATGATTTTCCCAGTCTGGGGTGGATGAACTTCACTGGTCTGCAAAGAGCCCCGACCTCAACTCCATCCAACACCTTTGGGATGAACTAGAACACCAGCTGAGAGTCTTATAGGCTGACAGCAGTAATGTTCTTGGGGCTGAATGGGAACAAATCCCTGTAGCCAGGTTTTAAAATATCTTGGAGAGCCTTTCCAGAAGCAAGGCTGTTGAAGCAGCATGATTTTGGAATGGGATATTCAGTGACTAGGTGTCCATATTTGGCCACGCTCTGTGTGAAAAAAATTAATCACTGGAGTCAAATATGGAGATTAACTAAACACAGATCTTTGGTAGGTAGCCTAACCATTCTCCACTTCATAGGCCCAGTGCACTCCACAAAAAAAGAAGCAGTTCAATGATTTTTCAAAGAGTCATCATGATTGTTTACTGTCACTAAGAGAAAGTATTTGGTTAAGCAGAATTAGGGACTATAATGGTGCAGGTGAAATTCATCCCAACTGTCCATCACTGCTGTTCCTCTACTGATGCATGTCTGAGTAAAAACAGTGAGACCCTGTTTCTGTCAGCGTCAAGATGACTGGTTTATCCACTGAATATTCGCTCAGATAAATAAATTCCCCCGCGGCATCCTCATAAAATATTTTCAGCATTAATGGCTTCTGATGGAAGCTGTAAATTCATGTTAAAATGAAGCGGCCATCTTGAGGTTTTGGCATTTCAATTATCCACAACACCCTGCGCTGTACACTCTGTCATTCTGTCAACTTTAATGTTTTAATATTCTCTTTTAAAAGCAGGCTCGCAAACACACGCAATACTTAATGTATTCAGTGCTAAACACACACACACACAAGTTTTGATTTATAGCCGGAGCTATGCCTCAGTGACTAACTGGAGTAAAATATTTATGTGAAGCCAAATGAGTGACGTTCTCATACATTTTCAAGTGAGTGTGTGAAGAGGGATAATTTACTGCAATAGGTAATCCATTTGATGAGGAGCAAGCAGGCATTCAGGAGAGCATGCATCATGATGTTGATGTTGACTGTAATATGTGATTATCTTGATCAACGTGACACATGAATCCACACCACTTATACTTGACATTATTTCACACACACACACACACACACACACACACACACACACGCTATGTACGTATACTAAAAGTGTAACTATAGTATTTTACAGGGGTGGAAGACGTGCCAAGACTAAGACGTATACAGCATTCACAACATTAATACAGGTGTCCTGATCAGACCATCTGTTTGCTGTTATGGTAGATGGTCCGGCAGTGTGTGCAAGTTAGTGCATGCATGTGAGTCCCATATGTCTTTCCAATCGCCGCCACTCTGCACTGCAGTCCTAGTGCAGTTCCTGCTGATAATTCTGTCCTGACCCATGTCATCATCCCGGGAGCATAGCGTTTTAGCCTGTTTACTGTGTGAACACAACTGAACCTTCGCTAAGTCCCACCCCCGGATGCGGACTGGCCAATCATAACGTAGCATCAGGCCAGCTCAGACCAGAGTCCGACAACAACACAGCTGTGCTCCATTGACTCTAATGCAATCATTTCAGATTTCCTTAATTTTCAGGCTGGTGTTGTGGATTTGGAGCTAAATGTTGTGCCTGGGGCACGTTGTGTATTAATGATACTCGTTACCTGGAGAGGTTGGAAAAAGATATACATTTCTTCCCTGTTCCAAAACCAAAATCATACCCTGAAAAGTGTAGGGTTAGCTAGCTAGCTACTGAAGATATAGCCTACTGAATGTATACACATGCTGCTTTTGCGTGTTAATGATTATAACAGTGAATAAAGACTGACCCTGCTGTACAGGAACCAGTGAAGGGAAGCAGGGAAACTTTGCTGATATTCAACCAGCTGTGTGTCATCGCACTGTGTGCAGATAAACGTTATTTGACTTCACCCAAAGATCCCTGCCTGTCTGGCGGCGGAGGTCCAGGTGCTGGCAGCAGTACGGGGGTGAAGCCAAACCCTGTTCATCTGCACAGACTGTGATGCCACACAGTTGGTTCAATATCAGCAAAGTTTCCCTTTATATTCATTGTCTTCTGTGGCGATCAGCAGTGATGTGGTGGTTCACTTTTACACTGTGATCTGTAGCCTATAGTTCGGCTTTAGCTTCTAACTATCTTTGTCTTTTTAACCTCTTGTTGCTGCTGAGTCAGTTTGACATCTTGGATATATCCTTCAAACACAGACTGTAGACCCCTCTGTCTGCTTCTCTCTGGAATCACTCTTTCATTGTTCCAAATATATGATAACATTTTTCAGGTAGTGCACTTAGTTACAGTGTGGGCTCCATGTTTGCTCCAACAGCTTGTCGGACCGTCAGAAGGGGCGGGCTTAGTGAAAGATCAATTAGCTGCTAGCTGGCATGCCAGAAAAACCAAAGTTTCCGCATGAATTCCAAATAATATGGCATGAGTAACTGACACACAAATGGTCAATTTGTGGGTAAAGTATTCCCTAAATACTGTTGATGTACTGTACATGTATGGCCAGAAATAAGAGTCAGACTATGAGACTTCAGGAAGATAAGCTGTGTCCCGACACAGGAAATGCAGGATTGGATCCACACAGGGTTACTGCAGGTGCACTGTTAGAGTTCAGTGAATTTATGCCACAATGACGGTGTATGCTTCCAGGGAGGTAGAGGTCCATGTTAAGGTGACAAAAGTTTGAAGGCAAATAAGGCAGTAAAGCAACATTGCAACTTCGACGATCTGACAGGGAGTGAGTGGAAATAGGTCAGTTATGTGCTGCAGGGCTGATGAGGGAAAGCTGTATGGGTAGATCTCAGGAGGGATAGAGGGGACATGTCACCCTTAGTACTTAACAAAACCTGCGCCCTTGGAAAATAGGAACAAGTGAGCAGGTGGACGAGGGAGTCAGGTGACTGGAGCAGGTGAAAAACCTTATCCAAACCATTCTATTTAGAACACAGTGTAATTTCCCTTTAAGGTTCTGTATGCATCAGAGCATTACATTTATACCAGGACATGGACTGGATCCAGTGACAGTCATTGTAGCTTGGATGCTTACAACAATACGATCCAAGTTGCACAAACAACAAAAGAAGTTGCTCTGCTGTTTGTCACTGATATCACACAGTGAGAAAAACTCTTTAAATGCACATAAATGCAAGCATCATATATTGTTACCTTTGATGTAATTCATACTGCAAATGTAATTAAACGAAGTAAAATTATTGATCAGTGAGCAGAACAAAGTGATGACTAGCTGCAGAGCCAGCGGAGGTGTGCAGAATAAATGAACATAAACACAATACATCTCCAACCCCATCCCCTCTAACCACTCATTAGTCTTAAAAACAAATGAGCATCAGTTCTGGCCCTGAAACTACCTTTTAACTAAAATTCCCCATAATTGGCTTCCTTCTCAAGTTCTCTCTCATTTCCCCCCTCTGCTTCCTCTCTAACACCTAACTTTGCAGTTTCTGTGAAAAAGTTCAGTTCACCTCAGCTTTCAGAGGGTGAAGAAGGTGAAACACTGAGTATTCAGTGATTAAAAGTTTAAAAAAAATACTGGTTTCAAGGGCTTTTTAAAAGGTTCAATGATGCTTCATACATCAAGCACAGAACACCTACACCTCGATCCACATGTAATACATTAAAGCACATAAAAAAGCAGGAGAAGAGGCGCGTCTACAATTTAATATGTAGATACAGTTACTGGTCACAACAGAAAGTGACACAGTGAAATTTGTTTGTGGTACTTGCAAAAGTGGTGCTGGAAGCTTGGCGGTGTAGTGACTACTGGCAGTTCTGATGGTCATGGCTTGTTGTGTTTGTGGCTCAGTGATGGGAAAATGCATAAATGTGAAGCTCTTTTTCGCATTAGATGCGTTTCAGCAGAGGTAGGTCATAACTGGCCAGATGGTTTGGTGACAAATACAAATTTGTGAGTCAAAACTTAGTTGCAGTCGAACTTTACTTGAAAGCATTGTACAAACTGACTTCGCTAACCCAACACAAGCCAAGATTCCATCCAAATGTAGTGTAAACTTTAACAGAAATTTCAGAAAGTTAGCAAAAGAAAAAGATAATTTCCATCCACTACTATTATGTGAATATAAAGGTTGGTTCATTGAGATAATCAGTTGCTGGCAATAACTCTCCAGTCAAGCTATACCATTGTAGAAGAGAGTACAGCAGGAAGACACAATGAAAAGAGCACTAGTCAAACCCTTAGACTGTGTAACAGAAGTGGACGTAGCATCTGGGTCTGAAAGTAAAGCCAGTGCATCAGTGCCTCAAACCTGCGTTCTTTATAATGGCCAACAGGGGGCGACTCCACTGGTTTTACAATGAATATCTAAATGTATAGAAGTCTATGAGAAAATGACCCTACTTGATTTTGCTAAAGTCAACTCTATAGGGCAGCAAGAAGGATCCTTTTTGACAAGCTAAAGGTTAGCTAAATGGCTAATTAGGCTGCTCTTCTGAGTTTTTCTCTCACTGTGAAGGAATGGAAAAGCTAAACAATGCCAGACGTAAGTGATCAAAGATGGCTTGGGGTGCATCAATAAAGGACTCACAGCAGATGAAGCGGGAGAGAAGGCACAGGCTCTGGAGCTCTACAAGCGAGGGTGGCAGCACCTTCTCAGGGCCATCAGTGTGTCATCACAGGGAGAGGAGTGTGTCAGCAGCTCCTGGGGATCAGCCAGACAGATGCAGCACAAGATGCAGAGGACGCTGAACAACATTACCACTTGCCTGGCCATACTGGAGACCAGCTCAGACCTTGGATCTGCACCTACATTGAACACTAGCAGTGTGTCTGGCTCCAATGCTACAGACATATCTAAAACTACCCAAAACTTCCCACCATAAACAAGCCGGAGAGGCCAGCTCCTTCAAACCTACTTTCTGCTGGGAACTGCCCATTGGTTCGACATCCCATTGTTCCGACCATATTAAACTCATTGTTTCGAAGTCCGTTCCGAAATCATCATGATGCCCTGTGGTTAAGGTCTGGTTAGGTTTAGGCACAAAAACCACTTGGTTAGGGTCAGGAAAAGATCATGGTGTGGGTTAAAATGAAAAAGAAAGTGACAAACACATAAGCCGTGAGCCTGCTTCGCCTCAAGCCAGTCGCGGCGCACCATATGCCCACCGCGGACAGTCGGACTAATGGGATGTCGAACCAATGACATGGACCCCTTTCTGCTAATGGCCAGGCAGCAGGAGCTGTAGGAGGTATGCCTGCGTGCAGTAGTAGAGATCTACTCTCAGACAGCCTGTGGTTCCAACCGGCCAGCCTCCAGCTTACTCTCCTCAGGCAGTTGATGGCCATCTGTCTATCTCATATGGGACAGGTGCAGGGAAAATGTCATTGGTTGGGAAGGAGTTTTACATTCGTACCTCAGTGAATATTTTCACAATAAACCTCTGGGGGCAACAGCCAATATTTTGGTTGATCTGGTGTAGCCAGTGCAAAGATTTTGTAGTTGAAGTATTTTGTAACAGACAGAACTTGACACCGCATCCCAGAACGTCAACAACCAATGCATCCAGGGTACCTTCTGGTTGTATATAGACGTGGACGATCCATGACCGAACATCGATATGTGACAAGGTCGGAGCGAGAATGTGTTGACCATTTACCATATGAATGCAGATAAATTAGAATAAAGTTAATAGTAGTCAGAGGATAGCCAGTGGGTCCTGAAATTGCATTTCGGCCAAGTACTACACCTCCTTGCTTTCCACATGGATTGTTCATCTGCAGGGAACCAAAGGTGACCAGTCAGTAGTACTCAGACTACAAACAGAAACCAGAATGTGTCTGGTACCAAAATCTTGTACCACTGCCTACAGATTCTGTGTACATATGCAGATATCTGTTCATAGATATTAACATTTTCCTAATGAGTTTATACTCTTCTTCAGTACAGCATGATGTTCATTTTGTCAGTTACGTTCCCATTTATAGTAACATAGATGATAAGCAGGGTATGCTTTAGGGCATGGCTACCTTGTAATTGAAAAGTTGCTTCCATGGCGACCTGTCAATCAGACTAGTGACATAGCAATGCCTACCCTCTCCAACTCCCCCCAGCTGGGTCATAATTTCTGGAAAGAGACATTGCTGTTGAGTTTTTCAATTGTAATTTTTGGTGCTTTGAGCACCGCAAGCCGAGTGCCATCTAGTTCCATTATATTTGACAGAGGGCATGCAGCCATCTGTACAGCCGATATCTCCAACACTCAGCAACTCACACTAAAACAATCTTGACTGATAAATAGCACTACAGGTAAGAGGAAAAATATGTATTTTTGAATTTGGGGTGAGCTGTCCCTGTAAAATAAAGACAGATTCATCAGTAGATAACAGTATCCCTGGTCCAACCAACACACTGTAACTGTCATTCACTAACAAAGACCACACCAATAAGATTTTGAATGATTTTTTGCATATGATGGATTATGGTTTCTGAGGAAAGCGTGAAGGGGTGAGGATTGTGGGATTAGAAAATGAAAGGATGTGGATGGGGGATGAAGGGTTGAGAGTCGAATTGATGAGGGATGAAGGAATAAGGGATGAAGGGTTGAGGGTTAAATAGATGAGGGGTGAAGGGTTGAGGGTCGAATGGATGAGGGATGAGGGATGGAGAGATGAGGGATGAAGGGTTGAGGGATGTGGGATGAAGGGATGAGGGATGAAGGGTTGAGGGTCGAATGGATGAGGGATGGAGGGATGAGGGATGAAGGGTTGAGGGATGTGGGATGAAGGGATGAGGGATGAAGGGTTGAGGGTCGAGTGGATGAGGGATGAAGGGTTGAGGGTCGAGCACAGTGATGAACGTGTTGAGTCAAAGGCAGGAACACAGGAGGGATCCCGGGGGGAGTGAGACTGAGTGGGGGAGTTGTCTCTTCGTGAGCTCGGCTTCGGATAGAGCCACAGCTGGTTCCTGCATGCAGAAAGGAGCAGAGAAAAAGATGTAAGAGGCAAGATGGGATTGGGTGGGTGGGATGTGAGAAATGTGTCAAAAGGAAAGAGAATGCATCAGGTGTGCTTAAATACTATTGGGCGGAAATGGGATGTGTTTGAGGCATGGTCATTGTTCCCGAACCTAGGTATAAAACTACATTTAAAGTGATTGTATATCAAAGTCAAGCCTGTATTAAATCAAAAGATCCCCTCTGGAGTAATAAATACATTATGCAAAATGCTGGTCAGAGATATTAGTAACAATTGGCTATGTATGTGAATTTATGTCTATCAGGTCAGGACCATATTGTCCAAATATGGTCCCATCTGGCTCCAAGAAACCAAGATGGCGAAAGTCAAAATGCCAAACTCGAAAACAGTAGCCCACAATCCATCTTCTTCTTTACAGTCTATCATCAAACTCCATTTGGCATGAAAAGTGTTCAGTGTTTATGTGTAATGGACATCATGCTGCTAATGATCAGCACAATCATAACTTCTTTGCCTTTCAAGATTATGAATGTTATTCAATACTTCTCAGCCAGAGGGATATGGGTCATCACTCTGACACAATGTTCTGTGTATAAAAAGATTTTTGAAAATACATCCTCATTTCTCCTGCTTGAGGAGGCTGAATCATAAAGTCACATAAGCTCTGTTCATGCGCACCTTGCTCCATAGAGACATGAGAAACAGAGCGGCATGTCTGCACAGACAGGTGCAAATCCGAACAACTGAACTGTGCTTCTTCATCGTTTGTGGCACTCTTCCCACACAGTTGAATTCACAGAAAATACCAATTGAATGCAGGCGAGAAAAAAGGCTTTGTGTGCAATGAAAATACGTTTTATTGGATGGAAAGCTCCACCATCTGCCGTCACGAGAACAGAGCTTGTGTTTGCTGCTCGACTTGTTTAGGGTGGTTAAAGAGGCCCTGATTTGAAATACTTCCGATCAGAGCTTCACCCTTAACTGATGTGCACTCTGTGAGACATTTTAGCTGTTGCAATGCTTTTTCCCACAAGACTTAAAGGCAGCAGGAGCCCATCGTCTCCACCTTCATCGCTCTCACTCTCTCTTTTTCACTCCATTGCTTCCAATACGGAGAAGATAAATCAAGTGCCATGAGTCCATTGATGTGAGGGGAAATAGATGGCCCATTTGTTGACAAAACTCATTTTCCCACTTCCAGGTAATAAAGTACACTGGGTTGTATGTTTTTTTTTTGTCCTTCTTTTTTTGGCCACAGCTTTTGCCTTCCTTCCTGTATCACTCGTTTGTCTTGACAAATGGGTGTGTTTGGTAGCAGACGGTCATAGTGATTGGACCAGTGTGCACATACACACACACACACACACACACACACGCACATTTACGCTCAGTCTGGCCTTGTCTGCTAGAGGCACCTGCTGTAGCCTGTGAACAGGTGCGCTCTGCTAATAAACTCAGCAGGAGCACTGAATCTGCTTTTATTTTGCGGTCTCTATTATCCCACTCCCCATCTCTTTTACTCTTTCTTTCCTTCTGTTTACTCCTAACCAGGTGCATCAGTTCACCAAACACTGAGAACTGGCTGAAAATCAACAATATAGAGAACGTACAGATGAGAATAAGCTGTTGGCGAGCTGTAATTAACACCTATTTGTATCCATCTGTGTCAACACATTACTGTAAGGCATAAATATATCCTGCTCCTCCTATTTTTTATCCATCCGTTCTCACCTGGAGGGATGGTTTGACTGAATGTGTGGACAGTTTGCCGGTTACGCCACATTGATCAGAGTCTCAGGAGGGAAAAGCTTCAGGCCGCTGGATGTCTCTCTTTCCGCTGTAATTTGATTGCTAAGAAGCTCCATGACAGAAATCCAGTTTGAATGTAGCTGGAAACATTGACTCTCAGCAAGGATTTAGACCATAGAGGAATAAAATGAAAGCTTTCGAGTGTAAGAATTAAGTAGCAGCATCAGTATTGAAAGGTATAAAATGATAAAGGAGATTTGGTGGAAAATTGAGAGAAGCTTCATAAAGAGTACAGGGATGTCAAAGTAATCGTTTTAGTAGGTGATAACCTATTAAAAGCCACTGTCAACTTATTTCTTATAAATGTCCTTACATCTATCCTCATCATCATCCTCATTTAAGTGAAAAAATGTTTTTTTTTCTCCACCTAATTTTACTCTTTAATCTAGGGTCACACAATCAACTTCAGCCTTGCATTTCTAAAATCCTATGTGCAATTTCTTAAATTAAAGTTTAAATGTGTTATGAAGTTTTTTCCGTCATGGTCAGGAAAGAAAACTATCTATGATGTGGAAATTGTAGTCTACTTGGTGAATGTCATTTTATGTTTATTTGCCATTTATTCAGATGGATATCACTTTCATTTCTGTGTTTAGTGTGTACCAAGCCCTCAGAAACTGTGTTGGGTTTTGAAGACAGTTTTACATAGTAGTTTTACATACATGAAATAACCACGTTCAGATCTGTCACAACCTTCCGCAGAATATGTTTCATCATCAGAATTTGATCCATTCTGTCCAATAACATTTCTTAAGTCTAGAAAAGTCCCACAGTTATATTATTTTATAGTCAGTCAAGTAAGCAGAGGGCTAAACTAGAAGTTAGCCGGTGACCAGTGGAAGACTTTAGTCTGCTTGCTTAATGGGCCCTACAAGCTGGAGGATCTGGGCAATTTCATACATACAATTTTAAAATCAAGCATTTTTTTTATCATGGACTACTGAGCAACTTTCATTGGACCCACATCTAACACAGTATCCAGTTCTAGTTTTACATCCATGGCTTGGATAGTGGACCTGTGTGTATTTACCCTGTCCACAACCATGGACTATAAAATTCTGTAGGCAAACCCTGGAGATCTTGCCTCCTGAAGATGAGCGGAAGAGCCCTGGTTTCCTGTTGTAGGCTGTTTGTAGTCCGCATGATATTGACCAATCACGTTTGAGTCGGCTGCAGTTGTTGTCAGGTTAAACGTGAACTAACGAGGTGGAACATAATTGGCATCACTGCAAACTCTGAATCCATCGCAATGGTTCAGCATATTTACTTATATATAAACAGAAGTCGGAAACGGAAATTCACCTCCTCTGCCCAAATCAAACCGGAATGCCAAAAAATCAGGGGTCTGCCCCCAGAGGCTGTATTGCCGTCTGCCGAAAGTCAGTCATGGGTTCCGAGAATGTAGCTACCATGACATCACCCGGTGGTTTGTAAACTGCAATTACAAAGCCTCAAGTCTGGCATTTCATCCATCACCATCTTGTTTTTTTAGAGCCAGAAGTGACCATATTTGGACAAGAGGGTGGAGCTGTGGAGGAGCGAGGGGTGGATATGACTCTTAAGTGGGATTTATACTTGTACGGCTTTATGTAGAGTCTACACAGTAGCCTACGCACATGGCCTACACTGTTGTGAGTATTTATACTTGTGCAGTGGTATGTCTGTGTCATTCTGCAGTTACACCTCCAAAACATTAGTTGGCGTTAGGGTTTCTGTGAAGTGCTGTAAAGTATAGTTGATTCCAAACACACCCAAAATACACATTAAACATGACTTCACAGCCACAATTTCAAACACAAGTACACAAATCAGCAGACAAACACTTGTCTTTTGCTGGACATATTTTCCCCACAAATACAGCATGCTAATGTTTCTAGCACAAGCCTATGGCATTTTACATTGTATAAATTAGCCTAGCAGCTAGCGGAGTTTCCTCTACATGTATGAAACCAGGGACAACAGCAACATTAAACAAAGGTTACGTTACAAAATCTGGCTCCATTACAGCTCACAAGGTTCACTGACAAAACAACTGTCTTATGCTAAACACGTCGTCCAAACAAATATAACATGCTAACATTATTAGCACAAGCCTATGGCATTTTACATTCTATAAATTAGCCTAGTGACTAGCAGAGATGTCCTCTACTCATATAAGGACAGGATAAATCACACACAAGACTTAAAATGTTATTTTGTGGAGGCTTTATTGTCTTCACAATTTATTGTTTCTTATCTGTGAAATAAAAGTAAATAAAAGCTTTGTTTCCACTGAGGGAAATGGTTTCAACTTTAAAAAATAGACAGGAGGTCTGCTTCACAGCAAGGTATTTCCTAGGGTATGGCATAGGCTCTGTGTCGACGTAGAGCCAATGCCGATTCGACACATAAATATAAATCCCACTTTAGACTGTTGCGACACCTCACAGACAGCCTGTCTCTCAAATGACACCTTCCTTAAATATCTGTAAACCTTAATAAAATGTAAACGGGTGAGTTATATAAACATTCAGAAACCACAACCATTTTTTGCACCAGGCTTTAAACATATTTATGTCTGCTGTAAATTTTGAACATTTTAACTTGGGGGTTTGTTTCCACGTTGGCATTTACAGCCCCAGAGGTTGCTGCTCATTTAATGTGTAGACTCTTGCAAGTTGAGCTCTTGTCTGTGCATTACTGTCTGACACTGTAGTGGGCGCTAGCAGTGCCTGTGTTTGTGGAATTCATCAGGAGAAGCTTGAAATAGGCCTAATGTACAGAGGTGAGAGTGCTATTAATCTTTTCATCCATCTCCTTGCAAGAAAATGAATAAATGTATTTTCAAAAAATGTCAAACTGTTCCTTTAAGAGAAGCAGGTTCAAGATTTTCTCAGCTTGTCTGAGGCTTCAGCCACAAAACTTTTCCAATCACAAACCTGTTCAGTTACTCCAACATCTAGTTACCTTTTGCCTAAATTAGTTATTACATCCCTCGTCCTCCTCCACAATTAGGACTACTCACCTCAAGCCTCATCCCTGAAGCTGGTTAGAAATACAATATTTTGCTCGAGAACTCTGTAGCAGAGTGGACTGCTGCAGGAGCTGTAAGCTCACTCTCTAAACTCACTCCGCCACCTACTCATTCTGCATCTTGACAAAAGCAGCAAATAAATATATGTTTGAAAGCAGATATTTGTCAGACGCCATGTTTCACATTTTGTAGCTCTACAGTTGGTTACCTACAGGCTGCGGCGGGCCAGGAGTGATTCTTGAGAAAGCACAGACTCAGGGAAAATGTAATAAATGTGATGTGGTGTGTGGTGGCTCTCTGGTGACAGTTTCACTCGTATATACACAGGCAATTTACACACACATGGCAAGAGGTGTGGATGTATGCACCAATGTGAGCTTAACACACATATTATTTAAATGCACACATACATATGCGCACCACGGAGTGTGTGACTTGTAGCCTAACAATTAATAATTAATCTGCACTGTGACTGATATGCAGTGTCTCTGTGTAACTCATAGCACAGATGTTTTGGATAAGGGCCTTCTTTTATGGCCGATCACCCACTTGCCAATGAAGTGTTGTTTGTTCACGTAGTTAGACAATATGCAATACCGCATGTGGCCACTGGTAAAAGTGGAAGCAGGCATTCCTGGGGGCCTGGCCCTGTTGTGTTATTTTGATATGTCAGCAGCTCTGGTCCACTAATGTTGGCTGACATTTGCAAACTAGCACACCAAGAATGCAAATAGATCACTCTCTAATCCTTGTAACCACCAGCAGTTTTCACAGAGGAGGAAACCAACTGATGTTTCAAAGTAATGCCAACAGCCAATTTTCAAGGTGTAACAGAAACATAATGTGACAAATCACTGCTCCCAGGGAGTCATGAGTAGACCTGATACTTTTTAAATTACTACTGTTAGGAGGCAAAAGCGCCCGCGATGCTGTGAAGTGAAGTGAGCAGCAGATTCCTGGCATGGCCTCCTAAACTTTAACATCCCCTCTGAACTTACACTGAACTTCTCTCTTTTTTTCCTCCTGACGCTAACTCATTTTTCTTTCAGAAACTATTGATCTTTCTCTCCCTGGTGCAGCCATGAATAAATCACAAGAAAGTGACAGAGAGGCTGCTGTGGCTGGCAGACGCTGAAGGACTGAAGGGGAGGAGAAGGAGGAGGAGGAGGCTCTTAGCTGACTTTCAGACGGCCTGTTTGAAACGCCGAGTCACCATTACAGCTGCAGTGTTGGACTGGTTGTATGGAGCAAGGAAAAAAGACAATTTTTGGTGGATATGTCCCTGTCTCTTTGACAGAAGGCAGAACCAAGTGGCTTGCCATGTGGAATACATCAAGTCAACATAGCCCCTCTAGTGTAGGAGGTAGATTTTAGATGACTGTCGTAGCCGCCAAATGTGCTCGTCCATTTGTTTCCAAGTCTGTTCAACAGGAATTGATTAAATAACTTGCAAGATGTAAAGCAACACAAATTAACCATTGGCCACAAAATCCTTTAAATCTGCATGTACTTCTTTTTTTTAAAAAATTTTGTGGTTGTAAAAGCTGCACTATATGGCCAAAAGTAATGGACACCCCGGCCCACATGTGCACCTTTGGTTTGTCATTGATTGGGACTTGATTGGAGTCTTTGGTAAGGTAGAACTTAATGCTACAGCATATTTAAGACTATATGTGCCTCCAATTTCGTGGCAAAAAAAGAAATGGTTCTCTGAATTTGGTGGGGGAGAACTGACACTGAACATTGTTAAAGGGGACCTACTATGCTGAGGGGCTGTATACACAAAGCTTCCTAGTGCTAAGAGTTACTCCCAGTGACGAACTTCTGAGAAAGTTCTTAGAATTGTGACGTTTTCTTGGAATTTTCCCTTAAAGTTAAGACTAGGTCCTTGAAAAGATAAAAGTTATTCAGAGAGCATCTTAGCCATTAAAAGAGCTCCTATAAGGTGAAACACTGTTAGGAGCAGGGAGGAGGCTTAAGAGTTTCTTAAGCAGAGGAGAAAATGGTGGAAACACAAAGAGGTCTGAGGAATATTTTCCAAACTATGGATGGCAGTGAGTAAATGAAATGCTACAGATTAGATCATGCAGGGATAATATGTGTGGTCGATCTCATTAGGGATATGTACACATTTCCTCATTGCTACAATGCCAGAAATAAAATGATCACAACGCTAAGATATTTGAAAAACTGGAGAAATGCAACAGTGCAGCAGTGATGACTTTGATGTGTCTCAACCTTCCATCAGCAGAGTGATCACACTGACAATGACAACACTTTCATTGTCAGCAGTTCATTTCATTTCCACTGGGTGTCCACACTTTACAAGCTCACAAGAGGGCGTGTCTGTGACAAACAATCACATCTGTTAAAAGAGTGCATCACACCTAGTCATGGGGTCAAGCACACCTCCTTACTTAAGTAAAAGTTTTTGTCCCTTCCTCGCTCAGAATTGTTCTGAGAACTTTCCTAAATCACTCCTAAGCTAGGACTTCTTACTAAAACATTTTAGGCTAAGTTAGGAGCTCGCTGAGTGGTTTTTTAGACTGTTCGTGAATATGGCCCCTGGTTCATACTTGTATTTAAGGTTTCTACTGGAACACGTTCAATAGTCAAATTAATTTCCTCGTACTGCCTGTGCTGGAACACCCATATTAGGGGCAACTGTGGCTCAGAGGTAGAGCTGCAAGACAATGAAGTCCAGATTGCTTCCAATGACTGTTCCATTGGTGTGAGTGCAGGTGAATGGTTACTGAGTAGCAGGTGGCACCTTGTATGGTCCTGCCACCAATGTGTGAATGTGTGTGTGAATGTGACATATAGTGTTAAAGCGCTTTGAGTGGTCGGGAAAGCGCTTTATAAGTGCAGTCCATTTACAGTCCATTTATCCACACTCTGTATTAGAAGGCTCCGTTTAGCACAATGGAAATAAGCCTTTGGGCTTTATTGTGTTGTAACCTTGGTGGTGGCAGTTGTATGTATCTTTCATTGATCACCTAATAAACTCAATCAATCAATCAATCAATCAGTCAATCACCTGTCTATTCAAGCCCCCTCAAGAGAAAGCCCAGTCTGCTCTGGTTGATCAGTGTTTTGGAGTCCTCTGCATTTCAGGGTGTCTTCTACCTTCTACCATTTCTACCAAGAAAAATCACCAGTGAAAGCTTCCGAACCAAAATCTTCACAACCACACATGTCCCAGCAGGAATATGATCTGAAACTGAGGAGAAATTAACATTGTCGGCAACCAAGATCCCGTTTCCCTGATGTTAACATGTAGCTTCATGTAGCATTGTAGGCTACTCAAGATGAACATGTGGAGGCACACTATGATGTCATTGCTCATTGCTTACAGGTATTAAGCACGCACACACACACACACACACACACACATAAAATTAACTGGGACACCATCTCTGAGTCAGGCCTTTCATTCCCCAAACTCACTACTGCTCTTGGGAGTGAATGGGAGCAAACCCCTGCAGCCAGGTGCTAAATCCTGTGGAAAGTCTTTCCAGAAGATTGGAGACTCTTATTGCAGCAGATTAATGTCAATGGGTTTTTGAATTAGATGCTCAACAGTCATGTAATGTGTACAGTAGGTGCCGACATAGTTTGTTTAGGTCAGGTTATATTACCTTCCGCACAATAAAACCCACTCTGGTGCTGGGATTTTTTTAAAAGAGGACATATCTCAGAATAAGCTGAATTTGCATCTGTGTATTTAGCGTCTGAGTTTTCATTTCGGCTCTGTCATCAGGGTCAGTGATGTATTTCATCACCCCCCTTCACTCTATCGGTGAGGTGGATTTACGTTTGTGCTGAGTGAGCGCTTCCCCAGCCACGCCCCACCAAATCAAATGTCACACCATCTCCTGGGGTATTAATCACACTCAGACACACACACACACACACACACACACAACTGGACAGAAAAAAAGAGAGGAAAGGTCACTTGATAGTAGATTTGGTATTCTAGAAACATGTATTGTAAACATGCGGTTGCACTCACACACTGTTTAAGAAGCATGTTGGCTCTTGCCCTTACTGTAACAACAGTATGCCTCTTCCTCTTTGCATTCCTGTGTGTGTAAGAGTCTGCATGCACGTCATTAAATACAAACTATAGAATTATCTTTTCTCGTTGTTCCTTACTGACTCACCAGGTCAGTCCTTACAAACTCATACTGTGCAAGAACTTTATTTTAAATTCTAGTGGAGATCCAAACACTGAATTTGGGGGAATGTGTATAAAATTATTTTTAACAGATTTAGTATTTCCTTTAAATGGAATGGTGCAACCATTAAAAAAGATGGAGCATTTCACTTAATATAAACATGATATAGCATCACTGCTGAGCTGGAACAAGCTGATAATATAAAGTTTATGTTGCTAGAGGACAGTATGGAACAGGATGATTTTAGAAACCTATAAGCTGCTTAAGGAGGAAAAAGAGAACACAACTACTTTAATTTGGATTCAGTAGCCAGTTATAAGAGGAATAATTGAGGACAACCTCTGTACACTGTGTATGGGTCTAAACCTGGTCATCTGGATGCCTCATAGTATTCTGAAACAACCCAATCATTTAAATTTCCAAACCACAGATTTGTTACATTGGTACATTATTTTGTACCAGATAAATAGAAACTCAAATGCGACTCAAATGCAGCTGGGTAATGCCATGATGTGTCGGTGAAAAATACCCAGGTTTGGTGGCCATAACGCTGCCAGGAAATGAGGCTATGTATTGGCGGAAATACCCAGGTTTGGTTGCTCAAATGCCACTGGGTAGTGCCCTGATGTGTCTGCAAAAAATACCCCAGTTTGATGGCTCAATTGCAGCCCAGGATTGGTGGTTCAAACACTGCTTGGAAATGCCGCAATGTGTCGACAAAGAATACCCAGGTTTGGTGGCTAAAACGCTGCTGGGAAAAGCAGCTACGCAGTGGTGAAAAATACCCAGGTTTGGTGCTGCACTTTAAAGACAAACTATTTGTTTTAACTTTATAAAGGTAGTGTCTGGGTTGCCTTAAAAGTGACTGAATTGGAAAAAAAAAAAAGTTGAGGTAATCTTGTCATGATTCAACTTGCCTTTTTAAATTCAGTCAACTTAAAATTTTAAGGCAGCCCAGACACTAACTTTTTTAAATTAAAACAAATAGTTTATTTTTATAACGTGGGTACTGCAACAATATGTTGGTAAAAAACACCCAGGTTTGGTGGCTCAAACTTGAGGTGAGGGGTCACCAAAACCAGTTTTGTTGTTTGTTGTTTTCAAACTTGGCAGCCATCTTGCCTTGGTGGCATGCCATCCACCATCCCTTCTACCTCTTGATGACAGTCAGCCCATATATACTACATCACTTATGAAACGGTGATATGCTACATTTGAAATGTACAAATGTGACATATCGGTGGTTTGCAGAAATGTACAATGCAAACATTTTCTTCTGCCGACTGGACCTTTTCACTTTGTTCTATATTTCCTCAACAAAAAGCTGTTTTATTCTCAACACTGAGGCAGCTAAAGCTCTTTAAAATTTTATTGTAAAAGTGTGAATTTCATGCATCACAATCAGACTAATGACTGATGCTACATACATGTTGATATTGGGCTGCACACAATGCATTTATATGTTTTATTAGTATTATTATACCATTAAAACCTTTTAGTTTTAAGAGTCTAACATCTTCTGCATCTGGATGTGTATAAGAGGCATGAGGCTGTAGCTGTGAAAGCAGAGAGATGACACACACACAGCAGAAATGTGTTGCCAAAGCAGCACTTTTTATTCGACCAACCATACTGTAGCATTGCTGTGAAAAATAGACATGACCTTTTACTAAATGTAATACAAATGTGGAGGGGTATTGATGCCTATAATACACATTAAAAAGAGGCCAGCATCATAAATAAAGGAAAAAGGGCATTATATAAAAAAAAGGCGTCTAAAAGTTTTAGGACCACAAGTTATTAATCTCAGTAGATATCAGCTGCAGCCACCTTGATCACACTGACCAGTATGTATCAAAAACAAAACAGCATCAAATCTAGAGAAGTCGAGATGGTTTTCTGTACCTCTGTTCAGTATTCACTTGAGAGAAACATTGTTTGTGGTTTTATCAGTCAAAAATACAAGGACAGACATTTCAAATCAAAACAGGAGATTTAAACCAGCAGCTGGTTTTGTAAATGAATTTCAGTCAGCATGTGTGAGAGAGAAAAGCAAACAGCAGGAGGAAGTTTTACTGTTTGGATTCGACAGATAGAAATGTTTAAATAGAAACTCACCAAAGCTGACTTATGGAATTTCTCTTTTTCTGCATCTTCCTGAGAGTTAGGCTTGTCTGACACTGTTTATCACGCAGCAGAGCACCCTGTGATAGACACATGTGAGACCATACTCTACATTTACTTATTTCTTTAAGTTTGATGATCAATTTTAGCAGTAGGTGGCGGCAGCGCTATTTCTCCAGTTAGATGCCACTGCAGCAGAGGACCCAACGGGATGTTGTAATTATAAGAGCGCCAGTCAAACCTCAAACAAAGGAAAACAATGGATGCATAAAAAACGGAGAACCCTGAACAATGGAAATGAGTAACAAATAATATAACTGCTCTGTGTGTATACAAAAGTGTGTTAAAAAGCCATCTAGAGGTGACGAAGAGCGCTTGCAATGGCCTACGCAATGACGGTGCATCATAACTGTACATCATCATTTAATCGTTGAATCTGTTTCCATTGTACTTACTCACATTTAAGTTTTATAGATACACTCAACCTTCCCCAAGTGTAAAAGCTTTTTCGCAAAATTTCGAGATTTTTTTAAAAAGAAATTGACGTTTTTTATGCGCAAACTGAAAATGTGCATAAAACAGGTGGATGAAAACACACCTACTGAAAATGTTAAATGGTTATAATATATTAGCAAGTATAATGTTTACTATGTTCATCTTATTTTAGTGTGTTAGCATGCGAACGTAAGCTAATTGGCATAGTGCTAAATAGCACAAAAGTGTACAGGTCTTTGCACAATGAGTCTTTTTTCATCCGACATTGTCCCATGTCTAAAGAAAATACCTCACATTGTGTCAATCCTGTTTGCACACTGAGTCAAAACTCATAAAATATTTCAGAACAGGTGCGATTTTCTGCTTTTTTCACATCTGTCAGAAGCCTTTCGAGACGTTTGACCAAGAATCAGTCAAGAAAATGTGGTGGCGGGACACAGACAAGGCAAGACAGAGGAATGGGCTCACAGAATCATTTCATAACTCAGATGGCTCACGTTCATCAGGTCAGATAGTGATATTCAGGTGCATAATGATGACGAGGAGGAGGATGTAGTCCACACACAGAATTTGGAGGACAGCCCCGCATTGCCAAATGCAAAACAGAGAGGGGTGACGGCCAGAAGGGTAACTAGAGATGCAATGGAGGAAACGTGTCTTTTACATTTTGTCACATATTGCGAATTTTCACACCGAATATAGCATTACAACGCAGTGTGCAAGGTTTCTGTGCGTAACGCTTTTTTTCCCCCGGAAGACGGATTTTTAAAAAAAAGCATCCGCAAAAAAAAACAGACTCAGTGTGCAAAGCCCTTAAGGATGTCTTTAGTTTTGCAGATATCATAAATCGAAGTATTGGAATAATAACATTTTTGACTTGCTGACAGTGCCAGGGAGAAAATTAAGAGATTACAATTCATTCCGAGAAGGACATGAATGTCTGTATCACATTTTATGGCAATCCATCCAAGGATTATTGAGAAATTTCACCTCATCCACAAATTTGAACCTCATGGTGGTGCTAGAGGAAAAGTCAGAGGATCACCAAAGACATAAGGATTCATCCTCTGGGGAACATGAATGTCTTTACAAAGTTTCATTTCAATTCATCCTGTATCTACTGTGATATTTCAGTCTTGACCAAAGTGGTTCAACGTCGCTTAAAATATTTCATGATGCACTGATGGGATGCAAACCCACTACAGACAAAGACAGAGGACAGAGACTAATGGACAGCAGGCATCAGAAAACGACGCTCAGACAAAAACTAATCTCATCCATCTGCACAGGTCAGGTTTCACACAGGAAATGGGTTTCCTTCTCTCTTCATTCTTCATTGATTCTCCTTTCTCTTTCACCTGTTATTTCCATCACTCCCACTGTCTCCTTCACATGGATGGATGAATGGATGGAAAATATAAAAAGGGAAGCTGCATTTCTCTTGAACACGTTCATTTCCTGTTATGAAGAAAAACACTCTGCAGAGTGGCAAAGTAAAATAAAAGTTAGCAGCTGGTTTCTCTGATTGGACACAAGAATTAAAATGTTAATCCTGAGGTTTGTCTATTCCAGTGAATTTGGTAACATTTAACATATGTCTTAGTTGAACTGAAAATAAAATGTGTGGGTTCAACTGTGAAGGACAAACCACCTTGAAAATCATTTATATCCTGTATATAAATACACGTTTTTCCTGTGCATTCCCATGCATATTACACAGGATGGCTGGTCCACACCACCACTAAAGAAAAACCAACAATAACAGCTACATTCTACAATGATTATATGAGTTTGAAGTTCAGCAACACCCTGAAGATGAAGTCATTTGGCATTCTCACCAGAGCAGATATCATTGAGCTCATTGATTTCTTCTTGAACTTTGAGGAGGAGGAGGTCCTGCAAGATTTCCTGCTGCTGCTCTTCAGCGTCCACCCCGAGAAGCTCCAAGTGGTGATCCTTTAATCTCAGCAGTGCACGGCCTGGAGGAGCAGTGTGCATGTGTGAGTGCTCATTCATTCATAAACTTTATTTGTATTGAGTGTAAATCCAAAGTACAGTTAGGGAAAATCTTATTTAACACATTTCAAATTTAAAAAAGGCTAAAATTGATCTTCTCGTGAACATTCAAGTTCAATTTGATGCATGAGCTGTACCTGATATAGCGTGCTTAATTATGGCTTTCTGGAGTGTTCCCATGTAGGCTGGGTACTGATCCTGCACCCACTCCAACACTTCTTCCACTGACCACAATGACACTCGCTTTGACAGGTCCATCACTCTGTAACCACATCAGCAGCAACACCCTGAAAATGTGTTGAGAACACAGAAACATTGCTCTGGGGAGGAAAACATAAAGAAGAATAAAGCAGAAATTCTGGTTTACAACTAACTGAAGTTCTGTTTTATTTAAACAGCCCAATATCACAAATCACAATTTGCCCCATTGGGCTTAACAACACACAGCACCATCTGTCCATGGACTCTCACAGCGGATAAAGAAAAAAAATTGTCCCAAAAAAAAATTTTAAACTGAGAAAACGTGCACTCTTTTAGTTCTTACCTACAAATTAAATCTTTTTCTTTTTTATGGTTTGACCATTTGACAGGCAGGAAACATGAGCAGATTTTAAACAAACTTTCTTAGTCCCAAAACGTATTTGAGAAAGAAAACAAAGGCAAACAGTGAAATTATTACCAGTGGCGCTGCTAAGGGGTGGCCAGGGGGGGCTTGTGGCCATAATTGCTGCCCCACCCATAGTCTAGATGACCTGCTGAAGTTCAAACCGAGTATCAGAATGGGGAAGAAAGGTGATTTAAGTGAGTTTGAACGTGGCATGGTTGTTGGTGCCAGACGGGCTGGTCTGAGTGTTTCAGAAACTGCTGATCTACTGGGATTTTCACACACAACCATCTCTAGGGTTTACAGAGGACGGTCCGAAAAAGAGAAAACATCATTGTATCATTCACTGTACTCCAATGGCCTCCACAGTCACCAGATCTCAATCCAGTAGAGCACCTTTGGGATGAGGTGGAACGGGAGATTCACATCATGGATGTGCAGCCGACAAATCTGTAGCAACTGTGTGATGCTATCATGTCAATATGGACCAATATCTCTGAGGAATGTTTCCAGCACCTTGTTGAATCTATGACACCAAGAATTAAAGTGACATTGTACAGCATTTTCAGTTGTTTATTGGCAAAAATTGATATCTGCTTTCATAAATTCTTCATCATTGGTGTACTATTACCTCCACCAATAATCTGACTTATTCTCGTAAAAGGAGAATTTTGGATTTATTTGTACATTGGGTGGGTAAGTCGATGGGGGGTTCCATAATGTTGCGCCATCTTGAGAATACATCCGCCAGCAAGGGACATATAGCACTGCCAGGGAATAGCCCCGCCTTCGGTGTTTTCGTTGAGAACCAGGTCAGCGCTGCGTGACTGAGAAGCCGAAGGAGAGGAGCAAGAGGCGCTTCGCTACTACCCCGGCACTACTGCAGCATAACAAAGTCCCACTCTTTGAGCATAATGCAGGATCATGCACATGCAGCATCACGGGACATGGAATCGTTGTCGCCAAAAAAAGCGCAAAAGGGAATCAAAAAGGCAACATGACCGGCGAAATAAAAAAATGAGGGTCAACATTGGGATAGCATTTCCCAGGTGGAGAGAGCTGCTGCAGTAAAAAGGTAATGCAATCACAGGCCAGTGCCGCTGTCAGCGGCGCAGTGATGTGAGGAGAGGGATAAGGTGTGTGAGGTTGAGCCACTTGATTGGTTTGTTTCGATTTACACCCGCCCCAACAGTCCAACGTTGTAAACACAGCCAGCATGGTGAGGAGGGGGTTTGTCACCTTGCGTCGCATGTGTCTGTGTAGGAGCCTGAATGAATACTCCATGAAGTATCGGATGACATTCATCAATGTTATCATAGCTTTTTGGTACACAGCGGCTACCGTAGTTGCAATACGCGTTTGAAACACTGAGGCGCTAGAGTGCGCTATCCATTTGAATTAAGCAATACATGATTTCAACATTAGATTGAATTCCTAAAAATTCAGTCCTTGCTTTTTAATTTAGTGTAGTTTTCAGTGGCCACCCAAACGAAAAATTTCTGCGGCACCACAGATTGTTTCCTAAACTGTCTTTTGTAAATATCAATCATAGTTTACAGAGCGACTATCTGATTAAATTTTGATCTACTGTTCTTTCAGCAGTTTTGCACTAACACTTTTTCTGCATTTTTCTGTGAATAATTATTAAGGACATTTTCCATGTGTTCTCTTGTATTTTTACCTCCAAATGAAATTGTTTAACTGTTCATTTACTATACCTTAACTCCAAATAATGGAGTTTAGATCAGGGCAAGAAACATTTTGATGATCAGATAGAATGTATTAAAACCAAAAACCTGGCCATATTTAGTGATGTCTCTGTGCCTCCTGGTCTCAGCAATTATTTTAGTAAATGCAAAATTATGGTTACCAATAGTATATCATTTTTATTTCCACTAGTACTTCAAAGCAGCACAAATGTTGAAAACCTCATTAAGATGATACGTAAGATTAAAATAATGATAGATTTTATTTAAAAGGCACCTTTCAAAGCACCCAAGGTCACCTTACAGAGCATATAAATAGATACTGTAGATTAATGGGTGTGTTTTCTGCTGCTTGTGCTTTTCACTCAAAACTAAGTAAGTCATCATCTCTTGTGTGTTCGGCTGTTATTTGTATAATCAATTAATCCGTCAATTATTTTTTCAGTTAATCAATCAAGTGCTTGTTCTGTCTCACAAACAGTTTAATTTACAGTGATATAATACATAGCGCAGCAGGAAATCTTCACGTTTAAGAAGCATATGTTTGGCATCTCTTGCTTGAAAAATCATTTCTATGTTTGTTTATCAAAACTGTTGGTGATTAATTTTCTGTCAAGATTTGCCAGATTTTCTCCAAAAAACAACTTACAAGACGACCAAATGTTCTGAACAGAAAAAGACACGCTTGTTATTTCACTGAGGACAGGGAGCATTGTGTTGATAATAAACGTGAAAACTGTTGCTGTGATTATCAAAATTCACCTGACCAGAATGTAAGCAGATAAATTCAGTGATTGTGAGCGTGCAGACGTCCCCCCGCAGCAGCTCATGTGCAGTTTTGCCCCGGGCACATTATCTGAGGACATTGTTGTCTGTGGTAGACCCTCAAACTGGAAGAAATGTTATTTTTCTCTTGATATTTGACGCTTTGGATTAAATTTCTTTCTCATGCGATGTCGCCTACTTCCTCAGTATAAGCCTGTTTTCCAGTGATTAACTCAACAACCTTCCGAACATGATGCCAAATAGTCAGTTGAGGGATTCCTCTGAGCTGAAAATAACTGCAAGGCGAAACCAAGCGACTCCAACACTGAGGTCAAAAAACTTCTGCTGTCTTAAAAAAAAAAAAAAAAAAAAGTTTCTTCTACGCCTCCGGTTCTTTTGGCTTTCCTCCCAGCCATATCCTCCTGGGCTGCACTGCTATAGGGCGAAAACTGCTAAACTGTTGATGTGACCTTTTCAACAGGGCCAGTCTAGTTATTGGGGTATAAATACAGGAATGTAATTTCCTGTGTTAATTAAGGGGGGTGCGTGATTGGCCGGGGGAGTAACGAGGTCCCAGCGGAGTAATTGACATACAGACAGTGAAGACCTTTACACCAGAGCAAAGACACAGAGGAAACTTCCCTTCAGAGTCGGGGTGAGCTAAGGGTAAAGAACGTTGGGTTTTATGCCTCAGGGCAGCATTTCCTAAACTATATGACTCCCAGACTGGGTCTATATCTGCAGGGGAATAAAACCACTGTATATACAGCTTGTCTTATTTGCGCTGAGCCATTTCATTTTCATACACGCTGCCCAGTTACAACTGAACCAGGACTTGTAAACAAAAGTAATATTCAGTTAACAAGCAGGTTGGGAAATTGGCTTTTTGCACAACTTACTGATTGTGTGATTCTACCTCATTCTGCTACATCAGGATTCCTGCAGATCCTTAAAAAGCCCTAAAAGGCATTGAAATCATTGAACTAAAAATAAGACCTGAGTTGGTATTAAATTGTCTCAAATCAATTTTTCAAAAGCCTTAAAAATTTTCAGACATGGGAGGTAGACAAGTCCCTGCAGGTGGTGGGCCCACCATGTCATCGTGGTCTTCTTGAACCACTCTTTGTCTGGCCTTTCCGGTTGGGGGCAAGTTAGAGCCCAAGCAAGGAAGTTTCTTGGGGTCTTGTTCACAAGTGAGGGTAGAATGGAGCCTGAGATGGATCAGCTGTTTGGCGCGGTGTCAGTAGTGATGCGAGCGCTGTGCCAGACCATTGTGGTGAAGAGGGCAAAGCTTTGATTTACTGGTCCATCTACATCCCAACCCTCACCTACAGTCATGAGCTCTGGGTAGTGACCGAAAGAATGAGATCGCGGATACAAGCAGCCGAAATGAGTTTCCTCAAAAGGGTGACTGGGCTCAGGTAAAGAGCTCGGACATCCAGAGGGAGCTCGGGGTAGAGCCGCTGCTGCTTGCGTCGAAAGGGGTCAGTTGAGGTGGTTTGGACATCTGATCAAGATGCCTCCTGGGTGTCTCCCATTAGAGGTGTTCTGGGCACATCCCAACAGGAGGCAGTAGACCCAGGACACGCTGGAGGGATTACATATCTCAACTGGCCTGGGAATGCCCCGGGGTCCCTCAGCAGGAACTGGAAAGTGTTGCTGGGGAGAGGGACATCTGGAATACTTTGCTCAGCCTGCTGTCCCCTGACCCAGCTTTGGATAAGTGGTTGAAAATGTCGATGGATGGGAAGTGGAATATTATGGGAAGTGGAATATTATCAAACATTTTCTTTTCTGATGTTGTATTGTAAAATCTAAAATTAATAGTAACATCTGTTTTTTTGAAACATATGTCACAGAATGCCTCTCTCATTAACTTCACACAGATCAGAATAGGGGAACCAACAGCAGTCACATTTTGTTCTCGACCGAGTGCTCAGAGCGGAGGATCAACCGTCTGCTGACCAACAGTCACTGTACCCTCAACGACATGGGAAAGTGCAATTCCAATGACAACTGGCTATTTAGTCAAGATTTTGCAACATGGCTGAAACTGTTATGAGGCAATACACAAGGCTCAGTGTATTTCATGCAAAAAGTTTTTTTAACTCACAATGGTAATCAAGGCAGTGGAATCCCATGTGCACAGTTACACACACAAAATTGCTAAGAAAACCGACCATTAAATTTCACCCAAGTTCTGCTCTACCCTCGTCTCCACCATCAGACAAAAACAGCCTATCCCAGCTGACAATGGGTGAGGGGTGGGGTACACCCTGGACAGGTCACCAGACTATCACAGGGCTGACACATAGAGACAGACAACCATTCACACTCACATTCACACCTACGGACAATTTAGAGTCACCAATTAACCTGCATGTCTTTGGACTGTGGGAGGAAGCTGTGCTGACACAGGGAGAACATACAAACTCCACACACAATGGCTCCTGGGATCTAACCAGTAACCCTCTTGCTGTGAGGCGACAGTGCTAACTACCACGCTACCATGCTGCCCCCAAAAACAGACTTGATGGGAGAAACTTTGACCCATGCTTCCCAACATTTTAGACGGCGAATTGGCAACACAGATGGTGAGTTGGAAGCCTGATTGTAGAAATTGTCCATATTTTTGGCTTTTGTCTGTACGTACATTTTTCAGTATTTATCCTACACATTGTTTTATAATTAACATTTACATAAAATTTTCCCAAACCTTAAGAAATTGATGCTGATTCATGCTTTTTTTTCTTCAATTTTGGTTACTGTAAAGTTGGTTTTTCATTCCAAATGGCATTAAAAAAAGTCTTTAAAAGCCTTAAATATCACTTTCCTTAAGCTGTAGGAAACCTGTATATGTAGCTGCAACATAACATCAAATGCTCACAATTTAATCCAACTTTGTGTTTGTTAAACACATACAACAACTGAACTGAAGTGCTTTAAGTTTTATTAATTTCACTGATATACTGCTTTTCCTGCCCACTTCTTGCATTATCTGTTCCTGCTGCCACCCTCTGCTCCTAGTTTGACAGTTTTATTAAGCTTCAGGGTAGCAAGTTGAAGTGAATGTGTGGGCAGTTATGTGTTTTACTCTGCAACTTGATTTAATATACAACAACAGGAACTGTATTGTAAGTGCAATGCCGGTCATAGAAAGGAAATAAATGTGTGTCTGAGAATGTAGTGCATTATCATCACCATGGGAGCTTCAAAAAGGCTTTTTAAAAAATATTTCCCCAAACTCCAGAGCGTTTATTTCTCTCTGTGCCTGATATGACACATTTTTATATCCTGTCATCTAACCAGGGGACACAGGAGGGTTTTGCATCACAAGTGAGAGGGCATCACAACTTTTTCCACTGCATTTCCTGTAATTTCACTCATGCAGAAATGGGTATAGTTTGAATGTTTTCTATACTTGTGTCAGTGTGATACCAGAGTTTCAGCACTGATAGTGTAACAATATTTTCTTAACTTTTCATTAAAAACAAATGTTATGTCATCGAAACACAAGCAACAACCTGACTTCCTCTCAATAGAATACAGTAGTGTTGCACAGTATACCGGTACTAAAATAGTACTGCGGTACTAGAGTATTCCAAACGGTACTATACTGCATTCAGAAAATACCGGTACTTTTAAACTGATTCAATTCATTAATTTAGTTAATTTATTTTACTCATTTATGCACACAAACGCCTTTCTTGTTCCTATTAGAGCACAGATTGCGCAAGTGGTGTGTATGACAACACCTGTATCAACATTTGCAGCTGGTGCATGTGAAAAAAGTCAAGAGAAAGTCTGCCTCGCAAAGGGAGGCAACACGAGACAACACAAACTTGGTGGAACATTTGAGTTACCAAACCGTGACGTCCGTACTGAGGTACTTACCGAACCATGATTTTTTTGGTACCTTTTCACCCCTACTATTTATTGTTCTAAAGGTTTGTATCCAAAAGTACTTTTCCTTAGGAAAAGTACCGAAGAGTATCGAAAAGTATCGAAATTCATATTGGTATTGGTACCGAAACAAAGATTTTGGTATCGTGACAACACTAGAAAGGGAAGAATTAGGAATTAGTAAGAAAATGACATACACGTGGCACCAAAAAAAGTATTGGAGTTCAGAAACCAGCCTTAATATTGTGACATCCATATACCCCCATTTATACCCCAATTAACCCCACCATAAAATAGCTGAACACATACATTTTCATACATACACTGTAACCTTAAGACAGCAGTCGTATGGCTTGACCACAGGACACATGCTCAAATTGCAGGCTGTTTCATGCATCCCAAGGTGTAATCCCACCATCTTGTGGTGCCTTGCAGAATTACCTCTTGACAAAGCCTCAAAACTATTCCTGTTCAGTGGTCCAACTTTAATAAAACCTAGTTCACACAGAGCCCTAAGTTCTCTAATCTGCAGCGTTTCTCCACTTGGCATGATGCAACCTGACCCTAATGCAGCGTTTCTCCCATGGTACAAGGTTAAGGCCATTTTTCTTTTCAAAGAGTGACAGCTTGATTTTGAGTTTCCTTGCAGCAAATGGCAAAACATGAACTCATCAAATGAGACTTCTGCTTTCAGAGAATGTGTTAGGAGTTTTGAATGACAATATATTCAATCATCATGCACTACTTAATGTAAAACTTTACTGCAGCGCAATGCTGTGCTGTGATGTAATAACATAGCAGAAACTTACAAAGTGGTTGTAAATATTGGCATTTTGACTAAATAAGGCATGTTCTTTTAGAGAGACTATAGCCGAATTAAAGTAGTCACTCTCACACGTCTTTTCATTGCAAAAGCACGTGCATATCTATCCTGTTAAATAAAACCTACTTAAAAAATCAAAAATATGAATAGACTTTGGCGGGTTGACCCCTGTACTTGAGCAGAGAGACAGCCCGTAAAGGGGCTTTTACAGAAAAACATAAACAACTGTCTTATAATAACATTCAACATCCATAACACATGGCAGGTAACACAACTCTGAAATCTTCACAAACTTTACTAAGGTTTTTGTTGAGAGTTAAGTTATATTTACCTTCTGTTCGTCTGATATTGACAGAATAATAATGGCGCTGCTTGTCTGTACCTGTTCAAGTGTTACTGTAGGTACATTCCTGTTCCCGGCTCCGCCCAACAGGCGGGCGCGCGCTCGACACATCCTTGTTCCGCACTCCCGCTGCACAGCTGCTCGTGAGGCCTTCAGGTGCTGTCAGAAATATGTCATCTATATGGTACATGCATTTTAATAAGCAGGCAAACGATTTATCTTGTGGAATGAAATCATATGAGAACATTATTCGTAATTGCAGTGCCTGAATTGGACTAAAATGGTGCCAGTACTCTAATTCATGGTCATCCCTGTGTCTTGGATATGTTATAACTTGTTGATACATCCCATTTCAAATGTGTGTTTGAATGCACTTTATTGCAGAGTTTCACAGTTTGTAGCTGTAATGTAAACTGTTTTTATCTAACTACTGATACAAATCAAATTGTACACAAATATAATATTGCATATATAAATACTAACTGTTGGCTTAGAGATTAAATTGGATAATGAGTGGGAACACTAAAGTCATAATCTATGGGCAAGACTGCATTTGCTTAATGCAGTCACATCAAGTGTCCAACCTGTGATCAACATAGATGTAGTCTTACTGAAGACTTTGTTAAATTTCTTCCTTTAGGCCTTTAGGGTGTAAAATTAACATTTCCCTCTTGAAACACTCCTAATTATATCTACATACCATGACAGAACAAAGAGGGAGAATAGGAGAAGCATGGAAATAGTACAGTATGTTACTTATTTACATTGTTGCATAGGATATAGTATAGTAAAGTGAGTTTGAAAGTAAAAACACGAATGTACCCCAGTTTTTTACAAACTATGTTATTTTTCCAGTCCTCATTTTGTCATCAATCAGTACTATATGATCATCTTTAAATAGTGTGTGACACTTGGACAAGCACACAAAAGCTTTTACCCTGCAATCTGATGCTACTATTACTTAGCAAATGTGCAACTCATCAAATGTCCTAAAAGTAATTGCCACACAGTAGCCCACCCAACCCACACAACTAAATTACATTTGTTTAAGTCTGCGGTTGATCTATCAACGGATCAGACTCTGGAATATGTGAACTGTGGTCTTGTTTGCAACTTCTTGACATGTCTGATGAGTTTTCAAGGGGCCATGAAGGCAGCATTTAATTAACCATAAAAGTAAAAGCCGCTTTTTCCTCTGTCTTTCTGCCCATGACTTGAAAACATCAGTTGTAAAATTATCCACACCAGTAATTTACCATCTGCGCCCAACAGAGGGCGCACTTGTACAGCAGGTGGCGCCACCTCTCCTCACCTCTCCCAGCTTCTACACCAGCTGCTCGTCAGGCAGAGTAAACCTCAGCTGGAGTTTTGTGATGGTCACATGACGATGTTGTGGGTATATTACTCCAAATGTCTCAGCTTGCTCGCTTCTACAGAGCACTGCAGCACCGGGGGAGAGTGTGTGTGTGTGTGCATGGTGTGTGTGCATGTTGCAGTACTTCACTCTGTTTCTTTTCATGCAGCTTTGAGTGACACTTTGACAGCTGAGGAACAGCCTGGAGTTACAGCGCCTTTTTTGAGGGAATTATGAGAAACGTGGAGCTGTGATTTTAATTTCCAGCTGACATCTGATAAGGTGAGAGAGGAGGACTTTTGCTCCTTAATTTTTCTCAGTTTGGTGTTTTATGTCTTGCAGACTTTACATCATCTGACAAAGTTGTATTGTCAGTGCATGAATCCTGCAGTGACTGCACCTGTTTCAACCCTCAGCTGACTGTGTCACCTGTCACTCCTTTTTTTTTTTTAAAGATATTACTTGAAATATATCCAGTGGAGCCTTGGTTTTTAATGCATATTTTCCATGTTAACGTTTATTGCCAGATAATGTTAGATAGGGATTTAGTTTAATGCTCAGTGACCTTCTGTGTGAGGTGTTAACAGGTTAATGACATCTGCTCAGCACCCTGAAATCACCACATGATATATTGTGCTTTGACCTTTGTAAGGTGACAAACTGGTTGACATCTGTTGAATAGTGTCTGCAATTGGTTTGAATGGGAACAGTTTATAAAGGCTGATTTAGTCTATTAGAGCGATATGCTGCAGGGACAACAGGACAGGAAATGCACGTTTAATGGAACTCATCCGCAGAACATTGTTGCTTTGTGTTTCAGTCATGGGTGAAGGATCTCTGCCTTTAATTAACCAAGGGAAATGGGTTAATGCTGCACATGGATGATTGAGCAATGGCATGGGATGCTTGCCACTATATATAGAGAGAAACTGTACTCCAACTCCTACTTCTAATGTAGCCTAATGGTATAATGGACAATATTACATAACTTAATAAAAGTGACTGCCTCTCAAATTAGTTTTAATTTAGTAAACTGCCGGTGAGCTCCAGCTGCTTCCTATGTTAAGTCGTTTGAAACGTCCAAACTCTGATGCTCACATAGGTATTTTCAATGGCTGTTCTGTCTGAGACCACACGCGCTGGTTCCCTCGCAGACAATCAGGATGCTCAGCTGGGGGCAAGTCTCGCTCTGCAACGATGCATGACAAGATTATTGTGTCCTCTCATAATGAGTGAATCAAAACTCCCTCACCAAACTGTCACTCTCTGGCTCTCTATGTATTCACTATGGAGCTGACCGAACCTAAACCTGTGTGGAGCTGGTGCAGAGTCTCTCCATGTATTGTTTTAACAGAGGTGGAAAGTAACTAAGTACATTTACTCAAGTTTAATGTTGTCATTTTATGTTGCTGTGACCACTTAAAGCTCTTTGTCACATCAAATGTCTATAGGTTGTTAGCAGCAGAGATGTTCCAATACCCATTTTTCGTTCCCAATACTGATTCCCAGAGGTGGGACCAAGTTGTTTTGCGCGTCTCAAGTCAGTCTCAAGTCTTTGCACCCAAGTCAAGTCCCAGGTCAAGACAGGAAAGTCTCGAGTCAAGTCCCAAGTAAAGACTGAAAGTTCCGAGTCAAGTGAAGGGACTCATGGCACACTTTCTAAACATACTTTTTAATCTTTGAGCTTGGGGGAAGGTATCGAGTGTTTTCAAGTCAAGTCAGGCTCAAGTCTAAGTGAAGTCACAAATCATTAGCATTAAAGTCCAAGTCAAGTTGCAAATCTTTTTCGATGTTCTCAAGTCAAGTTGCAAATCTTTTTCGATATTCTCAAGTCAAGTATAAAGTCATCAAATTTGTTACTTGACGATGACTCGAGTCCAAGTCATGTGACTCAAGTCCACACCTCTGCTGATTCAGATTCCTGAACTTCACGTTTCCGCCGATACCAAGTACCGATCTGATACCATTGCGTCAAAAAAATAATTCAACAGCTGTGTACTACTAACCCTTTATAGAAGTGAAATGATTGCTGTTGTTGTATGGCATGGCTCCAGTTAAACTCTTTGTAAAACATGAACAAATACAGACAATGAACACCGTAGAAGTTTCTTTAATTAGCCTAGTATCTAGTTTGACATTTTGCTCAAGGCTAAAGTTACACTTTAATAACAAATTAGTTCTTCTTCGCCGCTCTGGAACAGTAGTTGTGAGTGGCTCCACATCACAACTTGTTGTATCAGCTATTGTTTAAAAGTGGCAAAGAATTTATCTCAAGGGGGGAAAAAGCAGTCTTAAGTGTGAAACTAATAAGTTTATCAATAAATTATGTGGTTTCAGTATTGGATCTGTGCATGGACTGGCATACTCACTGATACTTGAGCCAGCATTTAAGGCAGCATCCGAGGCATTTCCGATACTGGTATTGGTATCGGAACAACTCTAGTTAGCAGCGCCACCAAAGAAGGTAAACATGAAAACGTAAAATTATCCAACATTTCACAAAAAAACAAATATTAGATAAAAAAAGAATAGACAAAAAGTTTTTTCTCCTCTCCTCTGTGGTTAATCATTTCTCAACCCTTCACATTAATCTCGTGACCCTTGGGAGGGGCCAGACCCCTAATTTGGGAACCACTAACCCAAACCAGCTGTCTGTATAAAGATGTAAAAACTAGCTCCACCTTGACCTGATGCAACAACAAAACACAATTTATGTATTGATGCCTCAGTGTTAACATTAGTGTCATTCTTAACAAAGTGGAACCATACTTACCACCTCAACCGTGGAGGTCCAGGATATACAAGTGGACTAATTTATAGAAACACCTGATAATATTTGACTGTCAAATCATTAATAAGATTCAAGAGCACACCACCCTTTCGTGCAGCTGTGTTTCTTTGTCCTGTTGGCTTGTTGTCGTGCTGCATCTTGAACTGTTTGTAGTGATTGGATGGCGCTCCAAGACGGAAAGCCTGCGGTCATTTGAGGGATGAAGAGAGTGAAAATCCACTTCCCATTAGGGTTCAGCCACATTAAATCACCAGATTTCCCTCAGCTCTTCAACACTGTGATTAACAGCTGATATTGGGTATTACAGGCTGTTTTTGGGGTTTAATCAGATGCATATTTGCATAAAAGAAAAAGAGTGAAAGAGTCATCATTGTCGAAAGTTGTGCTCCTTACGCCAAGTTCTACATGGGAATGTTGTGGGCTTGGATATACTGTTAACAGTGGCTTTTAAGGCCTTTTGTCAGTTATGGTCAGTATTTCTGCTCTTAAAGGATGCTCTGGAAATGCACAGGTCAAGTTCAACTGGACCTTTAAATCTGACGTATACTGTGCCCATTCCCCCATGTAACAAACTGTCTTGATGAGGTCATCTTCTTGTGGTGTTTCTATTATTTTGTCCACATTTTAACAGATAGAGATGCCTCTTTGCTTTCCCACCATCCTCTGTTGGCACTAACTAACAGAGACCAACTGGGTGTGTGATCAACTGTGATATCTCAACCAAACTCAGTGTAATTAGAAGATAACTCCCACACCCCCCCACACACACACACACAAACATGTTTGCAGAGGTACGGAGAGTTTAGTGGGATCTCCTAGCAGCCCTAATGGTTCCTGCCTAGCCTCAATCTAAATGTCAACCTGACCCCTCCATCCCCTCTGTAATGAGAAAGTCCAGACTGAGCACTATTTAACGACTTTGTCAAACACCCACAGATCTGCCGCCTGGCCTTGTGGGAGTTTTAACACCCGCTGACTCCTGACTGCAGGAGATTTAATTCTACTGCCCAGAGATGTCTATGTCTGACACAACCATTTATCTGTTTGTTCTATGTTCCCCTTCACTTTATTCATATGCCGGCCATATTTGTTTTACATCACATGTAGCGTGGGAAACTCAACCCAAACCAGAAGAGCAAATGTGCTCAGCTCAGGGTAAATAGCTCAGTGTATGGCTGCAACTGATTGTGAGTCACTATCAGTTAAAGTCTTGTGAAATTCAATGCGCTTTTCATTAAAAATTGAGTTCTGCCATCACAGATTGTGTGCCAGAAACAGTAGCTCATCAATGGCTGCACCTGCTGGATGTAATCTCCTCAACCCTGTGTTAAAGATGGAATTACGTCTTGTGGTGATAAGTGGCCTCTGAGAACCTTTCCTCTCCCAGGAAATGTTTTCATCAGATTTATGTTTTAAGTTTTGAAAGGAGGGCGGATTGGAATCCTGCCATAACCATATCTGTCAAAGCCCTCTTCATTTTTCACCTCTCATAATTCATGTGGGGTAACATGTGAGAGTTACAGGTCTGAATCTACTCTTTGCATTTTTTATGAGTCAAATGGAAGCAAACTATGGGGAATTATTTCAAGGTTACACTTTTATAAATGAAGCCCTAGGAGACACATTCGCATGGCTTTGCCTGAAATGGGACATGAGATATTTGAGTTCACACTCTTGCCAAATTCTTGCTAGGATTTTGGATCTAAGTGAGGGTATGATGGAGTAGAAGATCAACTGGAGGATTTGTGCCGTGTCCGTAGTGATTTGGACGTTATACTGCACTGCTTATGGAATAAGATTTATCAGCAGCACATTTAAGTCATATATGATTTACAAAAAACACCAGTTTCCAACTTAGAAATAGAGATTACGTCAACATGAAAGTCCTCATTATGACTGGGATTTTCTAAAAGCGCTTTAAAGCTAAACAAACATGGATGCCTCACATTCGGATAAGTGCAGAATTCAATTAAATCCAAATTGAAATTGATATACTGTTCTATTGCGAATGCTCAGTATTTTTAACCGAGACAACTCAATTATATAAATCTTGAGTTGCTTGATGATGTGGCAATAGTTTCTTTGCACAGGATGTCATACATCAGTGTGCTGTCCAAATGGAGGGCAGGCAACTGAAGGCAGTTGAAGACAACCAACACTGCACAAACTATGATTTGAGCTGTTTAGCTGTTCCAATTGACCAAATTGGGAAAAAACAGCAGATGTGGATCAAAAACCTCCATTTTCAGTCTGGAGGAGCGGAGTCAGCTAACACCAAACGTTAACATTCAAGCATTGTGTTAAACATGCCTCTAGTTTAATGCAATTAAAGTGTGCTGTGACAACTTCTCCATATTTTTAGCCACGACTGAGGTTTTTTAACAACGTTTCACCAGACCACTAGAAAGGGTTGACCTATTACGTAGAAAATGGTAGGTAAAGTTAGCTACTGTTACCTGGTAACGTGATGAAAAAATAGTATTTGAAGTTGGCTAATGTTAGCAAGTAACACTGGGTAGAAAATAGTAGCTAAAGTTAGCTAATGTTAGCTTGTAACATTAGGTTGAAAATAGTAGCTAAAGTTAGCTAACATTAACTAGTAATGTTAGGTAGAAAATAGTAGCTAAAGTTAGTTAACAGTAGCTAGTAATGTTAGGTAGAAAATAGTAGCTAAAGTTAGTTAATTTTAGCTAGTAACGTTAGGTTGAAAATAGTAGCTAAAGTTAGCTAACATTAACTAGTAATGTTAGGTAGAAAATAGTAGCTAAAGTTAGTTAACAGTAGCTAGTAACGTTAGGTAGAAAATAGTAGCTAAAGTTAGGTAACGTTAGCCAGTAATGTTAGGTAGAAAATAGTAGCTAAAGTTAGCTAACGTTAGCCAGTAACATTAGGTAGAAAATATTAGTTAAAGTTAGTTAATATTAGCTAGTATTGTTAGGTAAAAATAGTAGCTAAAATTAGCTAACGTCAGCTAGTAATGTTAGGTAGAAAATAGTAGCTAAAGTTAGCTAACATTAGCTAGTAACATTAGCCTCTTCTCAGTATCTATGTACAAAGTTGAAATATAAAAGATAGTTACTAAAGTGCGTTTACTTGCTGCACATAAAATTATTATAGTCCACCAGACTCTTGAGCACTTTCATCGGCTCGCCATGTAACATGAGTAATGTTAGGAAGTCTGGAGCATGAGGTAATTTGAAACGTAGATTATGTCCACACCGGGGATTTAAAAAGCACTTTTCTTTATTTTGTATGGATCCCATCCATTACAAGTTTCAATGTTCTGATAATACCTGCTGCCTGCAGGTTCATCCAACTTTTTTATGTAGTCATGTTCCAACATTTCCAGTTCACACAGTATATGGATTTATCACTCCCTGTCCTCCATATTTCACGCATCATAATAGTTACGTGATTGCAACAAGCTATAGCAAGTTGTAACGAAAATCTTTCCCAGTTCCACGATCCATCCGATATGATGTGAAAGCAGCATATTCCACACCTATGGTGCAGGAGATCTACCGTACACTCATTTTGATGGACAGGACGAAGAGCTTGGACATCCAGAAGGAGCTCAGAGTTGAACTCCTGTTCATTTCTGTCGACAGGACCCAGCTAGCTGGCCTGGGAACACCCCAGGATCCCCCTAAGGGCTGGAGAACGTTGCTATGGAGAGGGACATGTGGACTACTTTGCTTACTTTAATGAAACCCAGATAAACAGTGGAAAAAGGATCTGTGAATAGATGAATGCACCATTTTAGCCAAATATCTATCAGCTCTATTGCGGTTAAGTAACTATTTCCATTTGGGCTGACGTTCAAACACTGTACCATGTTTTGGAAAAAACTTGCAGAGCAGTTACAGTATGTCTAAATCGGAAATTGGCACTTTAATATTCCTTGACTGAGCTAATAATGATGGATTTACCTCTTCTGATGCAGAAGCAGCTGCCAGTTCTTCACAGTGCTCATGGCTAGTTGATATGAAAGGTGAATCAGTTCTTTCCTACCCCATGACCGACCTTTCCATAATGTTTTATGTGCATTTATTCATAGCTTTTTAAAAATATCCTGCTAAAAGGCAAACAGACAGATGGAAAAGGGCAATAAACACAACCCCTGTCCAACTCTGTTGGCAGAGGAAACAAATCATATAACTCTGGTCAAGAGACAGCCACAATCCTCCCAATCCTCGCACCACAAGGAATTCCCACTGTTTGTTTAGCTTGTGTGTGTGTGTGCTAGCGTAAGTGTGTGTGATTGTCTTTAGTGTAGCTTGAAAAGTGCAACAGATATAGTCAGAGCTCTGACAACCGGTTCACATGATTCACAGGACTAGAGGGCATCCGTTGGACGCCATCATACACATTGGAACTTCAATACCTGTAAGAACCCTCAATGATAAAATGCATTACATAAAACTAAACAAGCCTGTTCTCCTCCAAATACAACCACATGGGTCATTTGTACAAGCAGCTTATTACAACTCATGCTTATGTTTATTGTTAGGCAATGACCTTTAGAGGTTGTAGTTCTTATGATGCAAGTAATGGAGGAAGTTAGGTGATGGAGCATTAAGAGTGATTAAGTGTGCATGGCGTGGGAAGGAGAGAAAATGGATGGGTTAAACAAACACAGGACTTTCATCCAGGAGCCTGCTGTTCCTGTTCCAAAACCCAAAAGTCAATGCTGACTTATTTTTAAAGTGATATGTCATGTGATGTTTTTGTCCTATATCATGTGACACCCCCAAATGAAGGTTACTTATTTAACCCAAACCATGATGTTTTCTAAAAGCTTAAACAAAGAATTTTGTTGTGTTCACCTAATCACATAGTTTTGGAATAACTGTGACCGTTTCACATCTTTAATCCCGTGTTTAAAACTGCAATGTCACAGATCCTCCTAATATCTGGAACTGTACAGAAGAAACTGAACACAACTCTTTCGAAGATTTATTTGGTTGAGATTTGGTTATTGTCATTAAACAATTCAGTGACACCTGATGTGCTGTGGTTCGTCCTGAAAGAAACTACTCCCATCAAGTTTGAAATATTTTATTACAGAATAAAAGTGATAACTCAGAATAACTTTGTATTTGCAGTGACCCTTGCCTATAAGGGGGGGGGGGGGCATGTAGACCCAAACCATTCAAGGAAACTGTCCCTTATTTGTATGAAAGCTTGTTTGTTCCTCCACTGGTACACTCAGTTTTTTCTTTTATTTGTCATCTGTACTGGTCATGATAGTCAGAGTGAGCTGTAACAGAGTTGGGTCGGTTGAGGAGAGATGTCAGTGTCTTGTCATATAACATTTTCAGTGGATAATGCTGTTTGTGTCTCTTGTCTTCAGTCTGGAGGAGATGGAGAACAAGGCCATGTATCTGAGCACATATGAGGAGAGAGAGAGCGGCTCCATGTATGAAGAGGCCTACGATGGACACAACTTATCTAAACTCAACCTGTGTGATGAAGGTAAGGGGGACAGTTGAGACTGATTTTCATTAAGTCTGCATGCATTCAAAATAATAACCTGCTGGAATGAGAAACCGACCGCGGTAGTTTGCTGTAAATTATGTTCTGGAATGAAAATGACAGCTCTGAATACTTTCTGGTAACAGAAAAGGGAGAGAAATATGAGAAAGAAAAAACAATCACACAACAGAATTATTTAATGTAGGTAAAAAAGAAACAATTAATGCTTTTGTATACAACATTCAGAGTAATAATACAGCAGCTATGTAAAGATATAGGCTACTACTCACTTTATAGGGAGTTCTGTGTAGTTCTATGCACCATTGGTTGTACACTACTTTTCACAATGCATTGTGGGGTACTTTGAGTCCACTATATAGGGTATAATAATTCCCACTATACATTCGGACATCACAACACTATGGCAAACTCACTATATAGTGGATAATGTAGTGAGTAGTGAGTGATTTCAGACACAGCCATAGTGGAGTTAATGGCATCTTGAGCAGGGAATGAAGTCACACTACCTCTGCTTGTATTGTAATACAAACTAATGCATGTGTGTATCCCACTGGCTAGCTCATCACCCCACTTTGCACAGCACTCATACTGTGGCTCCCGCTGATATCAGGCCGCTGGCTTTGCAGAAATGTAGCGCACACCCATGGTTCCTGCTTGGTTACCACCATTAGGTCTGTCAGCACTTTTGCCGTTGTTTGCTGTTTACAGTGCTGTTTTCTTGAGTTAGTTGCTAACCACCGGCTGAGCCACATCCATGTTGAGAACCAACATGGATGTGGCTTCTAACTTTTTTCTTTAACCTTTAACAATTCTTTAAAGGAGCAGAGTGTAGAATTTAGTGGCATCAAACAGTGAGGATTGCCAATTTCAAACCGGCTGAAACTTCTCCCATGTGCTAAGACATGAACTCTCAATTAGGATTCCTTTGGTGTTTATTGTTCAAGAGGTGTTTACTAGAAGCCTTATTATCTGCAGAGGTCTCTTCCTCTCCAAAACAAACAGATTAGGTGATTAACGCTGGTAAAAACACAGAATAAAGCAGTTTCATGTTACGAATCAGGGTCTCCATGACATTGGGTTCATAACAGACGGGCTGCTAGCCCAGCGCCTACAAATGTTAGCTCTCCTTTTGTATCTGATAACTTAAGATTCAACGTTCAGGAGGTTTTTACTGTGAACCGAACCATCCGCAGAAGTGTCTTCCTCTCCAAAACAAATGGACCCGTGATTTAAACCTGTGAAAACACTGAATAAAGTAGTTTCATGTTAAAAATGCTGTTAAAAAGGTTGCCGAGGTGAAAATGTGAATGGCCCTACCTAGATCCAGTGTTTGGTTTGTCCTGGACTACTGTAGAAACATAGTGGTGGATGGGGACCTGCTCTTTAAGTAGATAGAAATGGCTTATTAACAAAAACACATCGACTCTTAGTTTCAGTTGATTATAAACTTGTGAAAAAATATTTGTGATATTATTTCCATTTCTGCCGATATATATCCCCTTAAATCCTACACACTGGACCTTTAGATTCCCAGATTATTCAGTATCACCACAGTGAACTTAATGAATGTGTTATGTGTCCTTAGGCACAGAAGTCTGACTTGGCTTCAGGTCTTGAAATACGCAGATCTTCATGCACCCTGATTAATTTTCAGAAAGGGACTTTCTACACAGAATCGTCCAAACACACAAACACACACACACACACACACACACACACACACACACACACACACACTAATAACCAACACAGAGACACATGAAGCAGCAATGCTGTCACCACTTGGCATCCACTCTGCTCTTGCTATGGTCATTTGTGAATGCCAGGAATGTCCAGAAGCAACATCTGCGTGTGTGTTTTTGTGTGCCTTTGTGTGTGTGTGTGTGTGTGTGTGTGTGTACAGGTGCAGCTGCAGCAAATCCAAATTTGACCCCATGGTGTTCTCAGGTTTCGACCCAGGGCTCTGCGAGTTTGGTGGGAAAGTCTTAGCGAACATTAACTGGAGAATTTGTTGACATTTTAATGGAAAGCGGACAATGGCAGCACACATCAGAAAGACTGTCCTCATCCAACTTCCCTAATCCTAGAACATTTTCACACCTCGTTTAATTAGAGAAGAAATTCCCAAACATGGGGTGGTTTGTTTCTTTGGGGTGATGCATGAAAGAGCAAAACAAAGCAATTAGGAGGTTTCTATCAAACCACAGGGCCGGCGTGCATTATGAGGTTAAAGAAGGTGAAGATGGGTAAACAATAATAAATAAATAAACAGGGTACATCCATGATGAAATGTCAGGGTTTATGGGGTGAATGTGGTCTTAATGTTGTGAACGCTGGCATGAGATGTTATCCAGCCTCTTCACCACAGTCTCTCTTATAAAAAAATTCTGACAGCACATTGCAGTCGATTGGACAATGATATGTTTATGTTAAAATATACACACATAGATTAGTGCATTTAAGGCATTTTCAGTTCTGTTTGGGAAACAAGCTGTCACCATCACTTGCCAATTACAGAGACAGTCCCTGACTTATATGGAATCTGTGTCACTTGCCAAGCACCATGTGTATTTGATTTGGAAAGTTAAAGTAAAAGGAACAAAGGCTTGTCCTTGTAAATTCACTAATTTCACCAAAAACAGTCAAATACACAGTCAATGCCAGTAACTGACTCACACTGGCCCTGCCTGAAATAAACAGTTATAAACAGATATGTGTCAAAATGGGTCAAAATGTAGTGTTGAACCTCCAAGTTTATGAATAAAATAAGCCTACAAGTTTGCTAATCCCCGTCTAATGTTTATTAAATTCACTGTGTGTGTGACAGCACCTTCACCAGACAGCCATGAATCAGAGAGAACATAGAGCTGTGCGGTATTTCAGCACTTGTTTACTGTCTCTCTGATAGGTTAAAGTGGTAGCAGATAAAGACGCAAAGCGCACTGAACATCTTTGAAAAAAAGTGTGTGTGCGTTTTCACTGTGCAGAAACAACAATTAGTTGGGTTTTATACAACAGCTTTAATACATACTGTCCCACAAAACAGAGCATAGCAGCATTTTCAAGTTGGTACAATAAAACTCTCAAGAACCATTGATGAAACAGAAAGTATTAGTGGACAAACAGTAGTGATGGGTTGATTTTTCTTTAATAAGCAAAATTCCAAATAATATTTCAATTCTAGCAGCTCAAATGTGAGAATTTGGAAGTCTTTAAACTACTCTTGTGAAAAGAATATCTTTTTGAGACTGTTGCCTGGTCAAATCAAGCAATATAAACACATCACATTAGGCCTTTGGTGACTGATATGGCCTTTTGGTAAATGTTAATGGCTAAACCAAAAATAACAGTGAATACAATAATGCTAAAGACAATAATCGTAAAAGGGATGACTTCTGGCCACATGCTTTCTTTCCAAGAGTTCGATGAGAACACTGATACCACTTTCTTCTGTGCATGAAAGCATTATCACATGTGCTGAAACTGTCACTACATCCACACTGTAGTAAATGAGACAATCTGTGAGAGAAATCATGTTCCTCTTCCTCCTCATAGGGCTTCAATTGCATTCGCTTGAATCCATGGCATGTGAACGAAAATAACCAATCAGAGCCAAGGAGTCTCCAACGCAGCTGTTAGTCATGTCAATCACTGCTTGTGAGTTGCAGTTAAACTGCCAAACGAGGCAGTGCTGATCAAATTTATATCAAGGTTTCTGTTACTCAGGCTCCATTCTACCCTAACTCATGAACAAGACCCTGAGATACTTGAACTCCCTCACTTGGGGTGATTTGGCGCAGCATCTGCAGTAATGCGGGCACTGTGCCGGACAGTTGTGGTGAAGAGGGAGCTGAGCTGGAAGGCAAAACTTTCAGTTTACTGGTAACATCGCAGATAGAAGTGGCCGAAAGGAGTTTCCTCAGAAGGGTGGCTGGACTCAGCCTTAGAGACAGGATGAGGAGCTTGGACATCCGGAGGGAGCCTGGAGTAGAGCTGCTGCTCCTTCAGTTGAGATGGTTCGGGCATCTGATCAGGATGTTGTTTCTCACTTCAGATGTTTACAGTAACATACATTTTAGTGTACTGTTTAGCTATCAAGTGAGAAACTTTGTGACTCAGCCACCATGCTGAAAACAGTCACACAAAAACCAAGCACCATCAGCTAAACAGTACACTAAAATATGTTTCTTAAAATATTTGAGGCAAGAAATAGGCAATATAGTAACAGAATCTCGATTCATATTTGATCAGCACTGCCTAGTTCGACAGACCACAATTCACAAACCATAACTGACATGGCTGACAGCTGCATCAGAGACTCCTTAACTCTGATTGGTTGGTTTCATTCAGGTGCAGTGGATTCTTGCAAATGCCATTTGAATCACTATGAGAAGTAACTAACTCACAGAGTATCTCTTTCATGTACTACTATGTGTTTATGGTCACAAAGTTACCAACTGCAGCTTTAAGTATGACGCTGGAGCAAGAAGGTGATTAGCCTAGCTTAGCATAAAGACTGGAAGTAGTAGAAACATACAAACATAAGCCTACCAGTGTTTGTTTATTCCAAACAAGAACATGACTACTGTGGTTACAAGTCACTCTGTCCACTTAAAGTGTTTATGCTAAGCTAATCACCTTCTTGCTCTTGCTCTACACTTAAAGGCACAGACAGGAGAGTGATATCATATCAATCTTCTCATCTAACTCTTGGCACAACATCAAACAAGCGTATTTAAAGTCATAAAGCCTTCCATGCGTGGCTTACACTGAGGCTGGAGAAAGAAACAGAGGACAGAAAGTGTGTGATAATTTCCCCCTTAAGCTCCAGACTGCTGGTTTTATTTCCCTGCCTGCTTTTTATGACGATGTTTGCATGACGTGCGGTTGTTTTGTCTCAGTTCAGCGTGAAGTTTAACTTAAGAGGCAGACTAGCTTGGAGTGCAATTTCTGTTCCTATACATTCCAGCCATGTGACACATCTGAGCCAGCTGTGTTTGTCTTACGCCGGAGGAGTGTGTGTGTTCTTCATCAGAGAGGAGAAGTGTATGTGTGTGTGTGTGTGTGTGTGTGTGTGTGTGCATGCATCAGCAACAATCCACCAGTGTCCACTGACAGATTGTCACGGTCTAAATGAAACCATGCTGTTGGGAGGCCACTCTGTACAATCAGTGTTTATATTTAAAGTCCGAGTCAGACCAAAATCATGGCTGTTCACAGGAAGATAGGATCTCATTATATCCTCATAATATCCCAGCGGGTGTTGGCGTATATTTATCATAATGTTCATATCACGTAGCCAATAATTTCCCAGGGACACCAGTGTCTTCATCTTTCATATCCTCCCCTGGGCTTAGTTTTCCAAATGTAAGATATTTAAATTTTGTCCAGCTTTTCTTCTATCCATCAAATTTATGTGAACACAAACATGCTGCATTCATGTGCTCCTCAGATGGTTCCATTTCCCAAGTCGGGAACTCATTCTTGCAACTTTGATGTTTTCATGAAACAGCTTGGACACTACATTGCTCGGAGCATTAAAACAACATGTCGATACCAAGCTTTATATTACAAAGTGATTTTGTCCCAGACTTGTTACTGCACCAGTAGGCTATAGATATTGCTTTACCTGACCGATGCTAATGAATAACTTTTCTAACTTTAATTCTACATGGACAACAACTATCAGTTATAACCAATTACCATATTACAAATACATCTGAGCAAAAAATGACATGCAATGTGTTAATTAATAAAAATCAAAGTTTGCTTTCTGTGTATGACATTAGGGGAACTGCCCATTGGTTCGACAGCCCATTGGTTCGACATCCCATTGTTCCGAACATATCAAACTCATTGTTCCTAATTCCATTCTGAAATCATCATGATGCCCTGTGGTTAAGGTCTGGTTAGGTTTAGGCACAAAAACCACTTGGTTAGGGTCAGGAAAAGATCATGGTGTGGGTTAAAATGAAAAAGAAAGTGACAAACACATAAGCCATGAACCTGCTCCACCTCAAGCCGGTCGCGGCGCACCATACGCCCGCCGCGACCCGTTCAGCACCGCGGACAGTCGGACTAATGGGATGTCGAACCAATGGGCTGTTGAACCAATGACATGGACCCGACATTAGCTGGCAACTCCTTTACTAAAATTTTCGCAGACTTGCTGACTGGAGGAGGCGTTCATCTGAATTTTCCAAGTCGGGAAGTCATGCATTTCATCATTCTGTCAACACATTAATGCAGGGTTAATATTGAGAGGTAGTAGTTTGAAGCTTACGTGACACCACCAGTACATTATTCAGCCTTATTATTTCTTTTTAATCACGTTTGGTGTATTTCTGCTTCATCAAACAGTTGGCAGTTGACATTCACTAAACCCTTCCCAATCCAGTTAGGTTATACTGCATCTTAGCAACTGTAATTAGGCACGGAACAACCATCAAGTCCTCTCAACATTCTGGAAATGTTAGCTGTAGCAAACACTCGCTAACCAAAGGCTTTTGAAGGTAATTTCTTTTTCAGATATTCAAGACCAAAAAACATAAGACCAATGTGTCGCCTAATGTTAGCTTACCTGGCTAAGTAATGCTAGTAAGGTAGTTAGCATATCATGTGCTAACTACAATAGAGAGCCCCAGGAATGAGTCCTGAAACCCAGATATGAGCTAGTATGTTACCATTCCTGGTTCCCTCATCTCAAAGTCAATGGTTTTTTGAATTGGTTTTTGGTTAGATGCCTGAAATAAAGTTCTGTGGTTAACACCAGCTTAAGAGACATCATTAAATACCCCACTCATGAATTTTGAAATGTTTTAGTAATTTTAAAATGGCAGTTGCTAACAAGTGGCTAAATTAGTTGACAGAACTTCATCACGCCAAGCTGCGTTGAATACAGCTTTACAGCCCTGCTGGTGATGGAAAAATTGTGTAGGCTTTTTAACACAAGAATCAGTGCAATGCTAACTTCCGCATCTGCCCAAAGAAAAACGTCATCCCCAGGGCACTCTATTTCGGAGAGGTTAGCTGTAGAAAATACTCACTAACTAGACTGTTGAAGGTAATGTCTTTTTTTTTGGATATTGAAGACCAAAAACATTAAACCAACGTGTCCATTTAATGTAACCACCTAACATTAGCATTCCTGGCTAAGTATCACTAGCAAGCTAGCTTTTCCGGGTCCATGTCATTGGTTCAACAGCCCATTGGTTCGACATCCCATTAGTCCGACTGTCCGTGGTGCTGAACGGCTCGCAGCGGGCGTATGGTGCGCCGTGACCGGCTTGAGGCGGAGCAGGCTCACGGCTTATGTGTTTGTCACTTTCTTTTTCATTTTAACCCACACCATGATCTTTTCCTGACCCTAACCAAGTGGTTTTTGTGCCTAAACCTAACCAGACCTTAACCACAGGGCATCATGATGATTTCAGAACGGACTTCGGAACAATGAGTTTAATATGGTCAAAACAATGGGATGTCGAACCAATGGGCTGTCGGACCAATGGGCAGTTCCCAGCTTTTCCTCCATGGCCAAGAGTTAGCATATCATTCGCTAACTACAGTGTTTTGTGGGATTCAGAGTTTTGTTTGAAAGAGAAAGATAGAAAGACATACTACATTTATTGTTCCTCGTAATAGAGCTAACTTAACAAAGACTAGTGGTCCACACAATAATGTGTCTCCTCCTTTTTCATGTGTTCTTCATAAACAGCCAACTGGTAAAGATGCAGACATGTTTTACCCGTAGGCTAAACTTAAGCGTCAGTCATTTAAGACATTAAAACATTAAAATGTCAACCAGAGACTGAGTGTTCAACCAATTTGTGACATTAATTGCAGTTAGCCAGGTGCCAGGAACTAATAAAGTCTGCCAACCACAGCCTCCAAATCTGGCTAAAAATGACACTCCTTTCTTTGTATATTTCTATCTGAAATCAAGGATTTCTTGTTCCAAACATTGTTGCAAAGGACACATTCATTTCTTTAACAATGTTCAGAATAATTACTCTCAAACAACACTTATGCTCTGATGTCTGTAAACATTTTAAAAGCAATATCGCATTCCTTTTCCAATGACTGATGAAGGACTCCAAAACCAACCTTCAAAAATCTCTTCATCCTTTTGACCTGAAGGGAATGTTCCCTGAACATCAACAGCCTAATCCCTACCTCCTGCCAAGCTATCTCTCACTCTCTCTCACACACACACACACACACACACACATAGAAAAACACTTCCATCATACATTAATAGTGTTGTGTCAGTTTTATCAAGACAAATTCTCCAACATCTGTTTGACCCTGAGAGGACTCTTAAGTGGTGACATGAATTATGCTAATAGCTCCTCTGTGGGTGTGTGTATTGTTGTGAATAATTCTGCAGCTAAACTTGTGTGTGTCATGATGTATGTCAGTGGGTAAAAGACAATAGTTTAAGTGTTGCCAAATGCATACAGGATTTATCATCTAATTTGTATTGTCATAATGCAAGTAAGATCTTTAAAAAAACAACAGTTAACCAAAAAGTATATTTGGTATTGCTGCTTGCATACTTGTCATCATATGTTTTTTTCTCCTCAGTATGCTTTGAGGTGCATAATTGTGTGCACTGCAGTCATTAAGTGTTTGATGTATGATCTTTCTTTGTGCTCACACAGTATGCCATTGTACCAGTAAATGTCAGGCTTTATAGTAAAAGCCTTTGGAATTATTGTTTTAGCTTCCACCACCAGTCCTTGCTTCTATGGACTCTCCGAAAATTTTTGCTGAGCAAATTACTGGAAAACATGACCTTTGTTTTTTTTTTCAAATTATACTGATTGCAGTTTTATTCACTGTTTTGGTCAGGTTCTGCAAAGCGTCGCAGGAAGCAGGATCAGTGCTGTGCTCACCTGAACTCCCTCTCAGCCATAAAGTACGCCATCGTGTCCCTCTACATCCTGGTTCTTCTCACCATCTTCGGACTCTGCCTGGCAGGTAGGGTGTGAGTCGGTCTTCCATTAGCTGTATGTCTTTGATGATCATAAAACACTTTCTTGATCCCCAGTGGGAAATTTGGTAGTTGGGGAGCTATGAAAATCCATTCATTCATTCATTCATTTCCGTAGCCGCTTATGCTGTTGGGGGTCACGGGGGGGGGCTGGAGCCTATCCTAGCTGACATTGGGCGAGAGGCGGGGTACACCCTGGACAGGTCGCCAGACTATCACAGGGCTGACACATAGAGACAGACAACCATTCACACTCACATTCATACCTACGGCCAACTTAGAGTCACCAGTTAACCCGCATGTCTTTGGACATCGTGCCGCCCTGCTCCAAAACTGTTTTAAAACAGTTTCTGCAACAATTTTTATTAACACTGCCAGTATAACATATTATGAACATTTTGAGGTCATATTTTTTGATGATGATGCTGGTAATGAAAATCATGAAACGTCTTTATTTACCCAGAAGAGTCCCATTGACATTAATAAGAAGAAAATAAAACACAGAGACAAACGAGACAATATGAAAAGTCCACTATGTATGTATGGGGTGTACAAAATAATAGCATCACATAATGCTGAGACAAAGACAAATGATGAAAAATATATGTCCATATCACCATTGTTCAGTATTATACAGAGTGACTGTGCTTATCCTCAAATGTAATATAAATCAAGTTGAGTCAAGTGTTGGATCAGGTTGAATAGTGTTAATATCACAGACTGTAGGCAAGGTAGTTCATACAGTGTAAATACGCAGACAAAATATACATTTCATAAAACAGTCAGAGAGTGAAAGAAAGAAAGAAAGGTGGAAGGAAAGCAGAGTAGCAGTTCACCTTACTGCACACACTGAGAAAGAAAGCATATTGTCCATCTTCTGTTCTCAGCGCTCAGTTATGCAGATGACATCAGCCATTCCTCAAGGCTGAATTGTAATAAAGGACACATGCACGTATGCACACATGACCCACAAAATACAACCTATTTGGGCTAAGGTAACACACTGGGACATGGGCTGAAACTGTACCCACCTCTTAAACTGTCTGTCCTTGTTTAGCATTGCAGTTATCATCTGCTGCACAACCCAAACTTCAGTTATGTAAAAGTGCTGCTGGTGATTTTATCAACTTTTTTCCCTCGACAGTACTATTGCTGTATCTGTTGAAAAGTTCACTTCAATGCCAGAAGCAGCACAGATCTCTGCGTCTGTTTAATTCAGCTTTACACTGTCCTTGGAGATTTTTTTAATCTTAAACACGAAATTAGATTTTCCTAGTGCAGTGCACGACTGACCCCTGTGCTTCCTGCTGCTAACGCACAGCTCTGTGCATGTGTGACAGGTTTAGACTTGATTGCCACATGTGCTGTTAAGTATGTCACAGCATTTTGGAAGCGTGACAAGCTTGACTTTTTAGACAGCAGTGGCTGGTTCCTTTGTGCTGCATGGTTCCCATACTCTTATGTATGGTTGTGAGACTGGATGTCATTATACAATTAGTTTTACATGAGAGCTTCTCAGGGTGATGAAAAAAGCAGCACCACCTTTTTCTGATTTATGAGTTGGCTTAAAAACTAATTTTCTAGGAGATCAAGACCACAATAATTTGATTTAGTCATACAGGTTTGTGCAGTCTGTGAGTGTTGAACTTTTAGCATCTTTTGACTGTGGATCAAGTCAAAACTAGTTGACTGCCAGAACAGTATAGAAGTGGGGTTTACTATTTAAGTTATACTCGGTTTGGTGTTTGGATTTTGCATTTTGGATTGTGACCAGTCTAAACTGTAATAGCAAGTCCTTAACTCGCCCTCGGCGTATGATACAGACATACCAAGGCACCCTTTAGCATTTATTTTTATAAAACACACCAGGCTGTGTCAGAAGCTGACACCCTGAGCCACTGATGTGGTATAAAGAGTGAATAAGTCCGCACAAGGTGGAAGGGAGGGGTGGTGGATGGGTCAAACAAACACAGGACTTTCACACAGGAGACCGCTGTTAGTGTCTCATGTGAAACCAAAAGTCAACATTGAGTTATTTTTAATATGTTAGGCTGTATGTCACATTACGTTACATTAGGGGCAGTTTGACAACTTGCTGTCTATCGTCGGGCTGTATAGCTTTGGGTATCCAGCAACCGCTACCACCAGTTTCTCCTCCATTGTTTACCAGCTGTAAACTTGTTGTCATGACCACCACGGAAGGCCCACCTCTCGAATCATCCAACTGGACAATAGAAAAAGAGATGACGAAAGAAGAGATAACGTGGGGCATTTTTCAGCTTTGAGTTTAAGTTTTTTCAACTCTATGAGTTCAGAGGAACAGAAGTTGACGACAAAGCCAGCTCATTTACGCACTGGTTTTAGAGATTTGAACCATATCATGATGTCATGTTTGTACTAGCTGCTGTTTCAAGGTAGACAACAAGAGTGACTATTGGGCTGAGAAATAACTGGTGGTACATTATGTAATAAAGGAGGGAGAGTCGTCACTGACTTACCCACCAAAACATTTCCCTAGCTGTAAAAAAAGAAAAAAAAAATGGAAACCACCCAGTCCCACACCAGCTTTACTGACTTCCAAAGATAGATTAGGAGACACAAACAATGTGTCTCTCCAACATAACATGTCTCAGTGATTGGCACAAAATAAGTGAAACTGTAATGTGGAAATTTGGATTTGTGAGTTATGGAAATTAGCATTAGCTGTTGTTATTTCATATCAATCGATGTGTGACACAGTGCCGTAATAAATTCCAGTGTCTTCAGAGCTTACACCGCTGCAGTTCCTCCTCCTGGTTCATTTGGAAAAACCCTGGTGTGATGCCACAGTAGCCTTATGGCCAATTCACTCGGTTGTGTGTGTGTGTGTGTGTGTGTGTGTGTGTGTGTGTGTGTGTGTGTGTGTGAATGAGAAAGCTTTGTAGGTTTGTCAGACTTTATGGCTATTACCTTCTACGAACCCCGCTGTGGCCTCCTTGTAAATGTCAGCTCTGTTATTAGAGGAGAGGAAGACAAAAAGAGGCTGATAGAGATGGAAGAGAGCGGAGGAAAGAAGCTGGAAGAGCAGAACAATTTAGGAAGATAGAGTCAGAAAGAAAAGTGACAGACCCAGAGACAGGTTTAAGAGCCGTCTGGCTTTGGACCAGCTGGATCATGGAGGAATGGCTTGCGTTCACTAATCCTAATTTCATTTCAAGACCTCCTCTTCCCAAGCCTCCCACTCACGCCGTAACCACACGGCTGATGCCAGTATTCCCAGGCACAGAGATGTAGTTAAGAGTTTGGAACTGCTTCAATGTCATCACAGAGGTATTTGGTTATTTAAGGCTTTTAGATGAAGTTGTTTTAAAAAAGCAATCAAACCGGGCTTTTCAAGCGGCCTCTCTTAAATTAAATGTCGGCCATCCAAAAGCTAAGTGGCTCCAGCGTAACTGCACGGGAGGTCCCCTCGCCACACACACATTGATGTGACGCGAGTGCACGCACAGACACAGTCACAGTCACAGCAGCTGCCAGTTTTCCGTTGTGAACACCAATTCAACTCTGTGTTATCCACATTTGCTTTTTGTTTGAATTCTCACTTGACTTTCATTTTTTTTCAAGCTCTTACGTTGCCTCCTTTGGCCTTCTCCCAACTTCATGGCCTGGCCAGCGTCTCCAATGCATTCAAACACATCCATATTTGACTGCAAGTAGGATCATGGAGCCTCGTATCTGGCTCAAAACATCTGCATTCATGGCATGTTAAGTTTAATGTAGAATTTTCTGTGTCAGCGCATCTGACCCTAAATCTTAGTTTTGGACAAGTGAAGGCAGGACAGAGATAAACAGAAACAGAGACGGATGAAGGCAAAATGACGGAGGAGGATAAAACAGCCAGATGACTCCTGTTCCATTCATCTTGAGGTTAAGAGCTTCCTTATCAGTCCATTATTTCTACAAGATTATCTCCATGCAGATAGGACAGAGCTTTCACAGCTCTGATAAGGAGACTCAGCAGCAGCACAGAGATTGGTCCATAATTGGAAGATCACGTGTTCAGTTCCCATGATAGCTAGTGTCAAAGCCTTGAGCCAGAACCCAGACTTTTATCATCTCAGAGGCGCCTACTGAGGAAACTTTTGTCTTCGTAGTCACTTGTTTTGGCTGACACAGCTCAAGAGGAGGACCATTGCCTAAGAGGCATGTTTGTTCTTTCTAGCATTAAAGCTGCACTAGACAACTGTGCATGTTGGCCAGCCCAAATGTTGGCATGATGTAACTTTTGAAGACTTTGCTTCCCAGAAACCCTGTGGGCTGACCTGCTTACAGTAAGTACCTAAGTGAGCACAGTTTTTCTCCTGACTCCCTGTTTACAGACTCAGAGCTGTCTCTTGACCTCTCATGAGCCTGGAGCTTATATCACGCACATAATTTACATGCCAAGGTCCGATTGATAACGTTACTGTTATCAAAGTTTTTCTTCTTCAAATCCTGTTAAGTCTTTAAAGTTGTTGAATGGTGAAGTCGTTGATGGCAACAAGTTGCTTCTCCTCCATTTTGTTTGAAGTACTTTTACTTTTACATTATGGTCGTCAGAGGACTTTTGTACAAGTTGACCCTCTCTTAATTTCTCCATTTTGTGATGTTGTGTGACCTTTGTGTCTTGAGTCACAGTAGGAAGTGCCAGGATCCTATTAAGAGGTTCAACTTACAATGAATGGCAGTGTTTGAGTCCATATGTGTGCGCAGGGGATCAGTCTTTTTTTCTTAGTGTGTGGGAGTGATGGTGGGGAGGTCAAACCATCAAGTTTTTCTAATGGTCCCCATATGTCCTACATAACATTGAAAGTCAGGTAAGGTTAACATTCAAATAAACAATAATTGGACATCCAGGTTTAGCCTTTGTAAGGGCATATAAGGGTGTATTTCTTCGGATGATGAGTCACTGTGCTGTTTGAGAAAAGTTTTTGTATTTCACTCATCAGCATATCCTCATATAATGGGA